CCAAACATACGAAGATTGCTGCTCAAGGTGTTCAGAAGACTCTGCATTTTGTCAGCATCCTCCCCTAACAGGACTATGTCATCTGCATATTCTAAGTCCATTAGATTATTCCCTGGTAACAAGTCGATTCCTAAGTCACTACGTTCAGTTAAGGATACTTCCATTAGCATATCTATGATGAAGTTAAACAGAAATGGGGAAAGTGGACATCCCTGTCGGACACCACTGGTTGTTACCAATTCAGATGACAATTCCCCATAAGCCCTTACACGACTACGTGAGTTTGAATAGAGTGCCTTGATTAGTGCAATGTACTTTCTTGGCACTCCCTTCACAGTCAGACATTGCCATAGTACCTTTCGATCCACGGAGTCGAAGGCCGCCTTCAAGTCAAGAAATATGACAATTGTTGGACGCCGAAAAGTGTGTCTATGTTCTAGAATCTGTCGAAGAGTGAAGATATGATCTATGCACCCTCTACCTGGTCTAAAGCCTGCTTGATTTTCCCTTGTCTGTTCCTCCCGAGTTCTGCTTAGTCTATGCATGATTACTGAGCCTAGGATTTTAGAGACTATGTTCGTTAGGCTGATCCCCCTATGATTATCACACGAGGACTTGTTTCCCTTCTTGAATATCGGTATAATAAGTGACTTACCCCAGTCTGATGGTACTGTCTCTGATTCCCAGACTTTGCCTAGTACCTCAGTTAATCTACAAACTAGTATGTCACCCCCATATTTAAACACCTCCGGAATAATTCCGTCGGGTCCTGCCGCTTTGCCTCGTTTCAAATTACTGATAGCTTTTGTAACCTCACCTACAGACGGCGGACCAGTGTCTATATCCCATTCGGGTACGTGGTGGATGGCGGGGAGGTTCAGTGTGGCTGTAGGCAAGTTAAATTGTTCCTCAAAGTGTTCTTTCCAGCGTTCAAGGCGTCTATCCTGAGAGCTAATTAAGGAGCCATTTTTCTCAGAAATAGTCTCACTTATGAATTGCCTTTTCCCGCCCGATTCTGTGATGAGTCTAAAGAGTTGCCTATCGCCAATGCTTTTTCCATCTCTTTCGCCTTTGTCACCCACCACTGTTCACGGTCTTTGCGGAGACTTTTAGTAAGTTTCCTTTTGTGCAGCTTTCGCTCCTCATTGAATTCGGAGCTCGCCGGAATAAGTCTTCTAACATCTACAACTCATGTCGAATGTGCCAAACTCTTAACCAAAACAAAAGATGACCAAAGTTTTATTGATGTCATGCCTCCCTGAGAAAAAATATTTATGATCTTCGAGTATTATCCAAGTTGTTTCACGAAACTCCTAAGAATCTTATTGACTATCAAGTACTCACTTGTGTCAACACAACATGTTGATGCATTTGCCCAACGCACAGACGACAACTGTCTATGAAGCAGATAAGTATGTTGGGGAATTTATCTCCGTCCACAAAACATTACATGTTAAGACATCTGGGCATAGCTGGAGCACAAGCTATCCAAAAGATCAAACCCAAAACTTGTATCCAGAAGAAATACGTCCAACCCCTGTCCCTGCCATGGCCTTCATAAACAGGTAATTCTTTTAGTAATGACCATCCCATCACCTTTCTTATCTAAAATTCCTGTTTATTTATGTTATTTTTAAAGCTTTCTTAGTCCCTATTTACACTACCATATTTTCATACCCGAACCTCCTGTTTATTTTGTCATTTTACTATTTCTACACATTTAATCCCCGAGTGCATAAACAATTATTCATCACATTAGTTTTGTTATCCAAACATCCTGTCTACTTTTGTTATTTCTACATTTCCAACCCCCAATTGTAAAATGTCACTCCTCAGTAATTATGATGCTATTTTGTTTGAGTTTTATCCGTCCCCCTGTGTTTATTATAGCATTTTAATTCCTAATTGTAATTTTATTAATTTGACCCTTGACCGGAAATTATTCTGGAACTTTCCCATCCATTTGATATAAATACAGGAATATATAGCCTAGATGATGACATGTTAAGACGTGACATTCCATTAAAAAGTTATAATGATTTTCCAAATTGTTTACACAGAATCCCATAGCTGTTTATTATATCACTTATAAGGGAGTTTATTAATGGCAGACTAGTACCTAGGCAGCAACACAGAACTATTTTTTTTCTCAGAGAGGTACATACTTGTGCAGACAAAGACACTGATCGAACACCTGAACCAGCTTAGACAAGACACTACATTAAGTTGAACTAAGATCAGAATGACAAAAACTTTATCCCGTTTTACGTTGTTATCCTAAGTACTCACAATTGTCTACAGGGTTTCAGCATGAGCTGACATTAGTTAGAGAACCATTGGAAAACCTGCAGGAAGTACTGGACAACTGTTTCGTTCTAGTGCTTGGGGCTCTTCAGCAGTACGCAACCACCGGGGCTTGAACCCAGGAACTTCAGGTTACAAGACGAGCTCGTAGACCATTAAACCACTGGGACCCGATCCAATGGACAGTCCATGAATTCTAACTCCTGACAAATTCATGACAGCGTGACCACTAGCCAATGTCTTCGGGAGCGAGTATTTGTACTCACTTCAAACCTACTGGTCATGACTTCTCACTACAACCCCAGGTAACTACCTACCTGAATCCCGGCCGATAACTGCTACCTTGTCGTAGTGGTCGGACTTGAATACTGTAATGACCCAACATGCTAAACTGACTGGGACTCTGTCCCTGCAGGTACGATGGGCTCCAGTATCCAATCGGATCAAATGGGGTATGAACCCATTTGGGACACCGGAAACCATGCGAATGCAGCTCTTGCTGCTCCGCTGCCAATCCGCGGATTAGACTCCAAGTCAAAGGCTCGCGGGGTGGTCTCTTAATAAAACCACCTGCTTCGGTCTGGGCGCCCGGGAAGTATCTCAGCCCTCACACAATGAATTGAATAAAGCAACAAACAATCAATGAAACTTATCGCATGCTATTACACGTGTTGCAGTTTCCTTCTTTCTTCCCTTCCCGATGATAGTTAACGAATACTGTTTGAACTTGTTAAGCATGACTGTTTTCCTTCCAGATGAAGTTCTCTATCCGTTCTCTACTTATATATATATATATTTTTTCTCTTCTGTCTTTATTTTTTTTTCTTTTGATCTATGAAGTTTTATTATTATTGTGTGGCGCAACCTTATTGGTGCCATATTGTACCAAGTTTTTATGCGTTTAAATAAATAAATAACCTTCCTGAATAGGGCAAGTCGCCAGTGAGCATCTCATTGGTATTCAAGTGTTGGTTTGTAGGGATTTGATTGGTTACAGGATTTCATCATGAGCTGACACTAGATAAAGAAACATTGGAAAATGTGGGAGTACTGGACAGCTGTTTCGTCCTAGCTTGGACGCATAGTAATGAAGAGTCCCAAATTGGGACGAAACAGCTGTCCAGTACCCCCAGATTTTCCAATGGTTCTCTAACTAACCAACCAACACTTAAATACTCAAAATTGTATTTAAAATATATATTTGAATAAGACATTAAGAAGACAAATTTCGCGAGATGATATCATTTAGTAGTTTCTTTACAACCGCTTTACAACTGATATATATGTATATATATATATTCTATATAGAAAGTCCAAACGCGGTTAATCTGAATACAAATCCAGCATCATCATTACCCATTGCAAAACACTTATTAATGTCAGGTCACAAAATCAATCGATATCAATGACTATTTCACAATTATTTAATCACATACATCTTAGACTATGTGTACAACAATCAATCTTCGCCTACCCTGGACAACATGACCTATCTAAATATGATTGGTCATTAGTATGTAGTTTTGTGTTTTTTATTTAACTGAGTAATTGTCATGAACTTTATTTTATTATTGTTAACCATGTTAGTTGTAAAAAGCGGTTGTAAAGAAACTACGAAATGATGATATTATCTCGAGAAATTTGTCTTCTTAATGCTTTATTCAAATTTATCAAAGGGACTTAATTGTTTATATATATATATATATATATATATATAACTGCTTTTAATTTCGTAGTAGTCCACTTTTGGTGAAGGGGCCAGGTCTCGTTGTGTATCGGTAATCGTGGTTTTCTACCATACATCAGTTGAAAGGGTGACTTCTTCGTTGTTTCTTGAGTGGTAGAACGATGTGTTAGTAAAATCAGTGGAAGCTCCGTTTCCCAGTTACCGCCCTTCGAGGCCAGCCACTCCTTCAGTGTACAGTTGTTTCTCTCCGTTAGGCCATTCGTTTGTGGATGATATGGGGTCATTCTGATCCTCTTGATGCCCAGATGTTGCAAACGGGAAGTAAATTCTTCACTCTCGAAACAGAGACCTTGGTCTGTCAGTATTGTCTTTGGTACGCCGTGGTCTGCCACGATGTGTTTAACTACTGCATCTGTCACGGTCCTTGTGCGTTGGTCTGGGATTGCTACGGCGTCTACCCATCGTGTCGCGTGTTCCGTCATCACCAAGAGGTACCGATTACCATTGGATGTCTGAGGAAATGGACCCATGACATCTACGGACCACAAGTCACCTATCGCAGTAACTGGAGTCGACCGAAGCGGTGGTCGTATGCACCGGTCGCCTTTCATTAGCTGGCACCGTGGACATCCAAGGACGTATCTTGCTACGTCTTCTCTCGTACCTGACCAGTACATGCTTTGTCTTAGGAGGTCGGTTGTTCTGGCCACGCCTGTATGTGCTAGCTGGTGACATTCTTCTATCATGTCGTGGCGCGACGATTGAGGTATGACAGCCAGCCAGCTTCCGTCGTTCATATATATATATATTCTCAGCTGAGAATGAACAATTTTAAAGATGATGAAGCCTATGCGTATGTGAATTGACCTAGTCAACAACAAATTTTGAACAAAAACACTCCAACTATTAACACCAAGATGGTAGAAAAGTGGGTTATATATTGGTGGTGGTGGTGGGCTTAAGAACTTGACAGCCAGACAGTCAGTCAGCAGGTTTAGAGTTCAACAACCTCCACACTCCGCCGCCTACTTCATCATAGTCTGCACAACTAGAGAGAGTACCAACAGACTTTATTCAATTTAATAAATGTAGCTCATTAGACTAGAGATCAATCATGGAACACCACCTATATTCCAGGAAATGAGTTCAAACATGACAGTTGAAAAAGTTATTCCCTATCATATATATGACACGAAGTAGTAAATCGACGTATACCGTAAGATTTATACGATCAATGTAGTGAGATTTCTCGTTAGGATGGTGTTTACTTCACAATAAAATTTAAAAAAAACACAACAACAATCAAGTCAGCCTAGTTAAATAGTTTATTTTACAAAATGATGACTAAGCATATAACTAAACTTGACTTGAATGGTGGTGGTAGTCACGATATTTTTGCTCCAAGAGGGAGAAATGAAAGATTATTTCGATACTTTTTGTTTAGATGATTGATACTTTTCAACGATTGATCTCGTCGCTTGTAATACATCAGCGGGCAGCTGAAAACACAATAAATAAGATTGAATAAAAATAAGTTTACAACCGAATACACACAAAAAGTAAAGGAGATTCACATGTGTGTGTGTTTGTGTTGGCTCAGGTGTGCTCATATATAAGACGTGGAGTATTTTGAACAACAACAACACTTGCCATCCACATATTACTGAGTCATCGAGAGACGATAGACGACTAGCTTTGTAACCTGATGATCCTAGGGTCGAGCAATATTGAGGTTAGGCGTCGGTCGAGTATTAGGTAAAGTGTTAGGCTGTGAAGTTACATAGAGTGAGATGCATGCCTAGCAATCGCCTTCCTCGTTGACGGCCAATGTTAGCTGACTGACATAGGATAGATGAGGTAGGAAAAGCAATAGTAGTGGTCAAACCAGTCAACAGTTAATTTGAGCCAGCCATATGTAGAGTGTCTCACTGGTGCACGTCCTCAGGATGGTAAGAGCCAATGACGGCTGGAGACAATCGGTGATATGGCTCGAAATCCTTGTTCTCAACCTGATATGGCGCGCAGATGCATCCACTCCTTGTGATTTATCATATCAAATCAAAAACGATATTTTTTCTTCCATATTACAATTGTTTTTGCCTCATTTCTCTGTTTTGAATCTTTTTCGACTCTCTTCTCTTGCTTTTTGTGTACTACAAGTAGGGCCTCCAAAGCCTGAGAATGGTCGGGGGTGGGTGTCTTGCGCTGCGGGTTGGCCAACTCTCCGTACACCTCTTGAAATGCTCCCTTATGACCGGGCGTCCTACATAGTCTCTCCTGGGGAAGTCCTACTCACTGCCTTCACGTGGCGGAGGTGTTTCTCACCAAAGTGAGAGGGCGAAAGCGGATGACCGGCGCTCTCCACCGGGTTGACTGTCCATTGGATGACAGTCTAGGGGAGATGGCTAAACGCTGATTCCAAACCTCCAACCACTGGCGTATGAAGCTCACCGGCAGACGTATGGACAAAGGGCTTATTGGATGCCCTGGATGTCTGGCCCCATTCAAAAAGGCGTATGAACCGGACTCCGGTCACCGGCTGCCAATGGATAGTGGACTCTCTACTCCACTCCTACTGCCTTGTAGGTCACACTTGGTTGTGTAAAGGCTAGAGCTGCACTCTCAAACAAAGGCCGAGCGATGCTGGGGACATCACTCGTACCAAATTCCCATGAAACTTCATGAACTCATGTTCATGAAGCCGGCTCATCCTCCCGTAGGAGATAGCCGAAGTAGAGTAAAGTAAGTAAGTACTACAAGTAGGGAGTGTGACGAGTTTAACTGCTGCACATTTGTGCAAAGTTCTGCATTGAAACCAATCAGTCAGTCAGGGAGGTTGACGACCCTCAATCGGGTTATATCGGTAAGTACCACCTAAGAGCTTCGAACTGTGACGAGACAACTGTCTAATGACTGACACAGTTCCCAGTGGATCTTTAACTGATATCAGTTAGAAGGAGAATGTTGAGAAGAACTCTTCCAGGGAGTTTATTCAATCGATCAGCATACAAACTATACCATTATGTAGGTATATATGATCCCTATTGTAATGACAGATGACAGTAATGCGATTATTACAAAACCAAAAGTGTAAACACGTGTAACTTACATTTTTACTTTCTTCCAACCGGTTACAGATAACTTGAAGCGTGGGTAGGATACAAATCTCTGTCAAGTCAACATTATAGGCTGGTGATACAGCTGTACGTATTAATTGGTGAAGGTTGTCTTCATTATTGGATAGAGCTTTAGAAGAAGAAGAGGAAAGATGAAATAAAAAGTTGTATTAGTTATTGTTTCAGTGTGTAGTAGGCTAAATCACGAATTGCCCAGCATCACCGATGATAGTCGTGAATGTGGTGGAGTGAATCATGCGACAGACTGTGCATTGGGAGTAAGATAACAGGAACACATTGGACCGATAAGAAAACTCTAAAACATTTGAACTCAGTGGATGATTGATATCGAATGTCACTATCAACTGAAGAACGAGGTAACATTTTTCATCATTTATTTGGATAGCGCATTCCATATTAGTTTGTTTACTAGATGGATAGGTTTCCAACACAATCTATTATTGTTTATAATCATATCATCAATTATAATCACACGACTTCGAAACTTGGGTTTTATAGTTTTCTTTGTCTTCTACTATTTGTCGTAGAGTTAGTTGAATTTCCCAGATGTCCAACTGGACAGGTGTTGAATCATTCCTATTACACGTATTTGCTGACATAGGATGGGATGATCGGAATTCCAAAGTCCACATTCAGACAGATTTTTGGACTTCCAATCATCCCATCCTATGTCAGTAAAAATACAATTGGTGAAATGTTTAAATGACAGAGCACAAAAACTAAGTAGTACCAAGGAAAATCTAAGACAGGAAGTGATACACATAAAAGAAGCCTTGAAACTTAATAATTACCCTGATAAATTAGTCAAGAAATATGTAAGTAAATGTAAAAATAAAATAATGACAGCAGTGATAGTGATAATAATAGTAATAATAATGACGACATGCATGTCAAACATGCGCAAGATAATGAAAACACTAACGATAAGGAATCTCAATCATCAGTAGTAATTCCATACAAGGAAGGAACCTCGGAAACCACCTTACGCAGAATTCTTAACAAGGCAGGCAGGAATAAAAGTGGCTGGCATTCAAACCATCCACAAACTCAATAAGAAACAAGCTTTGTCGGCTACAGAATCAATCCTGTGGAGCCTTTAAAACAAAACTATTTAGTTTATCTAATACCCTGCTGGAATTATTCTCAGGTCAAACTAGTAGAACAGGAACAGTCACACTAGCCAAACATAAAAACCCCAATAAGATAATAAAAAATCTGAAGAATAGTTCAGCTATGGCACTACATGCAGTTACACACAACCATACAACAGGATGGGATAGGATGACAGTTTTAAAAGCTAATGTCACAGGATGGAGGGAGAGATTGATAACAATGGAAGCTTTGTTTATCGATTCAGCTGAATGAAAATACATGTGATAGGAATGGTTCAACACCTCTCCAGTTGGACATCTGGAAAATTCTACTACTCCAACGACGACAAAGAGGAGAAAACAAAGAAAACTATAAAACTCAAGTTACGAAGTCGTGCGATTGTAATTGATGAAATGATTATGAACTACAATGAATTTTTTTTCGAAACCTTGTCACATCCAGTATGTAATAATACTGTTTGACTGTGCGATACATCTAATAAACGAACTAATATGGAATTACTTACTACCACAGTGCACAAGTTTTACACATATATATTAATGGACAACGCATTGTTTCAACTAATGGGTAGAGCACAAATGCGAATGTCAAAGGCATGAATAGAAAAGCAAGGAAGACATTCATTGATTAATCTGAAATCAGTAATAAAGGATAAGATTCGAATTTTTCAACACCAATAATGTTGAGTCAGTTCTTCTATATGAATGAGGAACTTGGTATGTCATGAGAGAGCCTTTTCAACGGACTTTTATCAATTAGCTGCGGCCGCCATTGCCACATACGGAAGAACAAATGTTCGGTATGAAATGATTAGCAACACAAGACTCTGAGAAAGAACTGGTCAAGAACCTATTAACTAACAAATATGTCACAGGAAATGGAGGTGAATTGAACACACTCACAGAAGACCATGAAGTGACATCACCCGCTGTTAGCCTGACTTTGAATGAAACTTTATTATTATTATTGCTCCTTTGGGTTCCTAGTGGAACATAGAGCTTCAACTGCACGTCTCCATTTGCTTTTGTCTTCTGCTGTATTTTCACCTGCATCCATGTTAGTTCATACTCTTTCAATTCCTCTTCACACGATCTCCTCCATGTCACCCTTGGACATTTGAATGGAACTTTACAAGTGGTAAATGACGACCTAAGCGACTGGAGGGAAGAATATGGTGGAGACTGTGTGTATGAGGGAAATGATAACTCTACGGCAATCATAGAGCCAGGATGAAATGCAGAGGTCCGGTAGAAGTCCGATGTCTCATTCGGAACTCAAGGGAATGACACACATTAGTGCTGATCACAAATAAGAATAACCGCTTTATTCAGGAAAAAAGTGTTAACACAATCTACAGAATTCTCAGCTTAAGTCATGTAATGCAATACTGTTCGATCTGAAACATCCATTATTTATAATGATTACAGCGGTGAAGTGTACAATCACTACAAGGAGACTGATAATGTACGAAGCAATTACCACTGTACAGTAAAAACAAGGTTTTTCATTCCATGAGATGAATACATATACCAGTAAACAGACCTACAGGTCATAGACTAAGTTGACACGAGAGCAATAAATTAAAGTCTACCCTTAAAAAAACACTGGTATTTACTATGAATTGAAAATGCACAGCAGATTTCAAACAAAGAGATATATACATACATCAATAATAAATTTTTTTAAAGATTCCTTTACGCTTCCAGTGGAACATAGAGCTTTAAGCTAGACACTTGAAGTTTCGGTAGTAGTGGTGTTTATTTTTACGAGATGGGGTTGCTAGCCTCATGTTCAACTTTTCTCTCTTTACCGGCGTTATTACTGACTTAGCGAGGTGAAGGAGTGAGTTGATGACCGGGGGTCGAAACTTGGACCACATGGATGGTCGGCTGTGCCACCGACGCGCATCACTTATTAATAGAGTCATACATCAAAAGACCTATTAACTCTTCTAAGACCAGAGCAAAATAGTAGTGAGAAGTGATATAACGTACATGTGTAACGCAAATAACGATACAATAGAGCCGTGACGCATTATTTATCCCATATGTTCAGAAAAGATTACCTAGATGGTTCAATATTTAGAAAACGAACTAAACACGCAAGTAGTCCAAGGTTTGATTCTCAGTCGACGTCACACTCGTAAACCCGACTTAGCCCGTAGTAAAGAGAAAAGGTTGAGGCGTTAGCGGCTAGTGACCCAGCCCTGTGAAGAAACACCACCAGCATCACAACCATCAGTGCAGATGGAATTTCAAAGTTTTAGGTTCAATCTTCCTGTCAGGACACCAAAGAAATAAAAACGACGAACAAAGAACAAATAAAGACGCACACAACATACCTGCATTACGAAGAGTATAGTCAACAAAGCCTGGAATGTGTTTTGGATCATTAGTTTTTATATATTCCATAGTTGAATGAAAAGCAGATTCTGTCAGAGGATGTCGAGGACTACCAACCAAAAATGTAAATGGTATTGTTGTATTTTTCTAGAGGATAAGATTAAATGAATAACTGCTGAAAGCCGTCTTTTTTATATTATACACATTGGAAACAATGAATGCCTTTGAGTATGACTTATATTGAATAATCATCTATGCAATATACCATACATATATCACGTAACAGAACAAAACTTAGCTGAAAACTCTTCCATGAACAATCTTTCTACAATCTTGATAAATTAATTAATGGATGGTGACTAACAGTGGAATCCAGGATGACACAAATTTCGTCCTATTTAGGACTCGTCATCTGGATGCAACTGCATTCCCTAGTGAGTGAGTGATGATGTTCCCACCACTGAGGCTCGAACCCGGTACCCCCCAATAGTTTCAAACGCCAAAGCGTTCATTATCTACTAGACCATTTGGGCCACGAGAGCTGGCCACCTCTTGTTCAACCGATCATACTAATTATGTCATGGTCATTCTCTGTTTTTGATTTAATCCTCATCATTTGTCTTAGTTTTTCTTTTGGCTGATGTCCAATTTGTAATGCTGCTTCACTTTGCTGCTGTGTGTTCATGTTGGTAATTATTTGTAACGTTGTAACCGGAAAGTACTGAATATGAACTCCGTTGGTGGGTGGATGCGTGCTTCTGAAGAGTCCCAAACTGGGCTGAAGAAGTAGCTGTCCAGTACTCCTTGCTGGTTTTCTCTAACTGATCTCAGCTCGTGATGAAATCCTGTACCCAATAAATACATTCAACTAACCAAGTGGAGTATAACACCGCCTGTCAGTGGTAACTCAAATCTAATATATGAAGCGTTGCAACTCTATGAGTTGGCAAAGTAAAATTACTATTATTATTATTATCATTGATTTTTTGATCACAGGAGTAGTTTAGTGACAAAGCATTAAAAACATAGTGTATATGAATGTATGTATGTGTTTATAAGTGTAATAAATTCAAAAAGGCCTACTTACCCCAAGTAAAGCAGAGACTTGATCAACTAGCCCTCGATTGATTAAAACACCAGCAAGTTGTAAACTGACAGAGTTCAAACCAAGCTCTGAAACTTTCTTCACCATAACAATCACTGAAGGTGGGAAGGAGAAAAGAGTATAATTGAAAAAAGGTTAGGATAGGCGAATATCATTTAATGTATACATATTCTTCCTTCAGAAGTGTTGCTTACATCGAATGTAAACAGTTTGTTTGGGAAAGCTTAATTCAATAGTGGTATTTTGATGGGTGTGACGTGTCTAATCATTTCTTTGGTGCAGACTGAATTCTATCAGTCAGTCAGGTTTGTAATATGGCCATCATTCTAGGTGACTCGCCATCACGGTGCACATTGATTTGATGATATTAGATGGTTGGAGGCAATCGGCCACAGGAAGCCTTGGACCTAGGTTTCGTGCTAGCTGGCACTCGTCAGCACGGTGTATCTGCAACCTTGAAGGTACTCATGTCCCTTTTGAGATTTGAACCCGCGTCACAGAGTGCTGCAGTCAGAGACGTTACCACTGAGCTATTCGGGCTCACGATTGACCTCTTTTGATTGAAGATGTGAAAGCTAGTCAGAATCGGAAAGGCAAGATACTCCTTCGTCACTTTGAAATAAATTTGGAAATCTTCTGCACTCCACCTCAGCATAAAGGACATGATTTGAATTTCCAACACATATGTGAAGATAGTCAGCTCTTTCACGTCTGTCTGTTTTCGACATAGAACTTTGCACAAATGTGCGCCAGTTAAAGTCGCCACATTCCGTGTAGCACGCGAAGCAAGAGAAGAAAGTACAAGAAAAGCATAATAGAAACAGTGAGCAGAGGTGTGAGACAAAGGAATAGTAGTAACGAAGAACAAAACAGTTTCATTGGAGATCATAAGTCACAAGGAGTGGATGCATCTGCGCTAGCCACTGAGAACGATTTTGAGCCATGTCATCAATTGTTTCCAACCATAGATTTTTACCGTCTCGAGGACCCCAACCAGTAAGGAAGTCTACACCTTCCTACGTGGCTTAGACCAACTGTTGTGGATTTCATTGACTGGTAAAGCCAAGTTTTGTTTGACCGCCACTAGGTTTTTTCCAGTCTGACCCTATATCCGCTAACATTGCTCGTCGAGGGAGGCGATGGCTAGGCATTGATGCGTAACACATGTCCTAACCATCTCAGTCTTTGTAGCTTCACGACTTCGTCGATTGATTTCCCCTGTTTACCTAGAACTCTACGCCTAACCTCAATGTTGCTCACCTTATTATGCCACTTTACACGGGAAATAGAACGCAGGCACCTATGATCAAAGACAGCTAGTCTTTTCATGTCTTCCACTCTCAGTGGCCAGGTTTCACAGCCAACCATAAAGGAGGACGGAGCGGACTGATGAGCAGTACACCCGCCCTTTGGTCAATAGTCGAACATCTCGTCTACGCCAGAGTCGGCGTAAACTAACAAATGCGAAACGAGCCCCTTGTATTCGTGCTGAGATTTCGTCAGAGATCAACCCGTGGGTGAGAAACTTGGCGCTCACATCACAGGAAGCAATTCCAACAGGCTACCGCAGACTTTTATCAACAGCTGGCTTCGCTCGATGTTGAGAGCGAGGAGAAATTGGCAACAAGAAACTCTGGAGGCAAACCAACCAAGAGCTGACTGTTCAACAAGCATATAGGAAAATATGGAGATGGATTGGACATACACTGAGAAGACCGTTGAATGACATCCAGCTTAATGCAGGCTATCACTCGACTGGGAGCTGACTGCATCGTCCAAGGGTGACATGGGGGATATCGTGCGAGTGGATGATCATGGTAAATCGTGTTTCCAGCTAGGAGGACTACAGAAAATAGAATAAAGTGGAGATGTGTTGTTGAAGCCCTATGTTCCACTCGGAACCCAAGGGAATAATAACTATACTAATACGAGAAAGAGAATAATTATGCGGAGAAATAGTGGGGATTTAATGAATCTGCGATATCAAAAATCCTCCCATCACATAACCTGCACCACCGCCAACAGTTAAAGGCTTCATGAATTGATGACAAGTTCTGCTCTGACCACCCTTAACTCTTTTTCAACAACCTAATCCTAAATCAGCCTAATCCCTCTTTACTAATCAACATATACGAAGTTGTCTCATCTTGGAGAGACTTATTGATGCTCTCGATGCAAGATTCAGCTTAGAAACAAGCTAAATACACAGGGAAAGTTGATCAAATAGCAGTTCCACCCATCGTCATCGAAAAAAGCATAGTCGAATCTCTACCTCAACTTTGAAATATCTTCAACAGTGCATTGACAACAAAGTAATCTAGAAATTACTTCAACACTATGGAATGCTCCAAGCTTTTATCAATCTCATTCAACAGCTATAATGATGACAATGTCACATGTGAAATGATCCACAACAGAAAACTCTGCGGTCTTTGAACTGAAGGAAGTCATAGAACAAGCTATCTGTCATCATCGGTCATCCATGTGATTGTAGTGGACTGGATCACGAGGTAGACTGTGGAATACAGCAACACGGGAGTATGTTACAAAGATAAGAAGACTCTAGAAAATCCGGACTTCGTGGACGATTTATGTCAAGCAAACATCGAGAAGTTGGCAGAGGCACAGAAGACAAAACTTTAAGTGAACCTCGAAAAAAAGGAGGTGATGATGAAGACAGCTAATCAACTAACAACAACAAGCAGCTATCGCTATCAACGGAAGGAATTTGAAGGAATTCATTCCTTTCACTTATCGTGAATGACAATAATAGTTATGATATTACTAATACAATGAGAAAATCGATATTAATAATGATAACTTACAGTCTGAAACATGATCAACTGGCCAACATCTGAAGAGAGTATCCATATGTGGACCTCTTAGGGTATTGAATAAATCCTCAGATGGAAGACCCGTTAAACTTTGAATCGTTTCCTTCACACTTTCTAGTGCTTTTGTCTTATTGGCATCACTAGCAGAACATACACTGATGTATGCACAAAACAAAAGAGGGCAATTAGAAAAATGTTACATTACATCAATAAAAGAGTAAAAGGGGCACATGTGCAGCTCAATAATTGAGCTCATCTCATTATCGATACTGGACATGAAGTCACAATCAAACAAAACTTACAGAGTTATTTATCGTATTTCACCCAGCCTCTCGCATCATACTCCAATATAAAACAACAGAGACAATCAGAATTCATCTGAACCAACCAAATCTTCTCCGTGGTCAATTACATATTACTTACTACATTTGATAAACGATTTTTTCCCCTTCCCATACAACTATCTTTTGACTTAATTGAATTTTAGATTTTCCCGTCGATTGATTGGACCGTAGTGCTCGGTCTTAGGTTGACATGTCTTGTGCAGATGCTTCGACGATGTCTGGGCATTTAATTGGTAGATAGTGACTAGCAGTGGAATCCAGCCAGGATGCGCATTTCGTCCTATTTGGGACTCGTCATCTGGATGTCAACCTGAGACCGAGCACTTCGGTCCAATCAAACGACGGGAAAATCTAAAATTTAATTCAATTAGTATGACCCGTTGCACAAGAGGTGACTCTCTGATGACCCAAGTGGTATAGTGGGTAACGCTTTAGCGTTTGAAACTGGGCTCGAGCCTCGGTAGGAACATCATCACTCACTCACTGGTGAATGCAGGTGCATCCAGATAAAGAGACCCAAACAGGACGAAATGCGCGTGATCCTGGATTCCGCTGCTAGTCAATATCCACCAAATTAAAATATTTTGACTTTGTTATTTTATTGTGATGACAATTCTAGCTTATCCAATGGACTTGCTTGTATCTTACATAATTCTACTGTTATTTTATTCTTTGATCTGGAAGCCGCCAGTCGACACCTTTCTACGTAGCTTAATCTATCTGTTGTGGAACTCTTTACCCTGGGATAGTTTGCAGCCTACACATACAAAGGTGCGAGCTCTTACAAGTCACTTCCAGTCTGACAGTTTTATTAATAGTAAACAGGTTTATACTTTTGTGTTTACTACCCCGTGAAATTCTCCTTTTTTCATAAACAGAGTCATAATATATAAATGTTAACTAACCGGATAATATGCGCAAAGCGTTTCAATGGTTCTGACTTCTCACGCTGATTTTCAGGCAGGTATTGAATGGTACGTTCAACGAGATCCTCAGCGCCGAGATTCACAAGATTCAATATTAGAATCGATTTCTCTACAAGATGTCAAGAGAAGTGAGGGAGAGAAAAGAAAAAAATTGAGACTTAACATTTTCTTCTCCTCATTATAACTGAAAGTAATAGACAAGTGAATAAAACTGAAACTTCAAGTACCAATGAAGTGAGACCGCACCAATGACCTTGAGACACTCATCGAGCAAGTTAGTGAAACTCGGTGAATAATATTGTCATCATGAATAAAATGTGCTTAATGAAGTGGTATGTTACTAATAAACGGGATATCTGGTAAGCCCCGACCGATACCTGCTACCTTGACGTGGTAATCAGGCTTGCACATCGCGATAACCCAACAAGCTGCAATGGCTGGAACCAATGTTCCTGCAGGTCCTTCCATGCCAGGAAGGTTGTTAGGATGGCGATTAGACGAAGCAGCAGTTACCAGCATTGTGTAAGTATCTTCCTTACACACTATGCTGCGGGGTCTGGTGGCGAAGTCGTACTGCTGGGAAACAGGTATGTAACAGCACTGATGTGTTTCCCGCAGATGACCAGCATGCCAGCCAGCTATGCTGTCTATCCACTCCGGAGAGAGAGGGGGTTCAAAAAGGTCAACCCCGAAAACTGTATATCCCGACTTACCCTATGGTGGTCCGTAACCGGCGGTAAGTTTACTAATATGGAACCAATTACAGAAACCAGTTCATATAGGCCGTGTGTGACCGGCCTCAAGCAGTTGTTCCCTGGGCTCTGCGGTCACACAACACTAAACCTCTTTCTGTTTCATGTACCAGAAGAATCAAGAAACTTCCACAGTGTGGTCAGCCGGGAAGTAACAAACGCCCACGCACTTCCAAAAGCACACGAAGCCTTCCTGAGCATCATTCTCCTTTCCTCACATCGCCTTCCTCTTCTTGCTTCTCTACTACAGCTATTACTATTCTGCAGGCTAGAGTAAGTCATCTTCAGTTCACTGAGTGGCACGCCTCAGGTTATGCTTGGGAAAGAATAAGTTAAGGTTTAGGTTAAGGACAGGTTAGAGTTATTATTATTCCCTTAGGTTCCGAGTGGAACATAGGGCTTCAACAACACATCTCTACTTTGTTCTATGTTTTGCTGTACTCTTCAGCTGGATCCACGATTACCTATAATCGCCCATTATCTCCTTTCCACCACACGATCACCTCTATGTCACCGTCAGATGACCTATTCATTGTTTAACATTCGGATTTCACTCAAGCGACGACCTGCAGTGACCGCGATATCATTCAACAGTTTTCCCAATGTATGCCCCATTCATCTCCATTTTCTCCTCTTAATATATATGTTGAGCGGTCGGCTCTTGGTTGGTTTGTTCTCACAGTCTCTTGTTACTTATCCTTTCTAACCATCTTATCTTCAGTATGGAGCCAGCCAGCGAAGATAGCTGTTGATGAAAGTCGGCAACAGTTTCTGACCAATATAGAAAAAGTGACTGACTTGACATTTGTGTTGAAAATCTGAATCACATTCCCTATACTGAGGCGGAGTGAAGTGCAGAAGATTTCCAAACTGGTTTCAAGTTGATGAGGGCACATCTTGGCTTCCCGATGATTCCAGCTAACTTTGACATCGTCGTCATCCGTTCGGTGTGCCTGCAGTTGAAACGATGCTTCCTAACCTTATAAGTGATGAAGGAGGTAACCTCTGTTAAATCTCTCTCTCTCGATGGTGGTAATCGGTACTGGTTGGTTGTCTTCATCATCCTTGTCTTCTCTGTGTTCACCTGCACTCCTGACTAAACCGACTCTTCAGTCAGTTTGTTGGTTTTTGCCTGTAAGTCTTCAAGTTTTGTGTGACACTAGGCATATATCATCTGAGAAATCTAGATCTTCTAGACTCTTCTTATCGGTGGTCTAACGTATTGGTTTGGGTTAAATTAAGCTAATAATAGCGACATTGGAATTGATTCGAGTTAGATTGGGGTTAGTCGACATATATATTTTCACCTTAGCGTTAGGCTAAGGAAAGATTATGATTATTGTAAGGATTAGAAGACCTCGATAATTACCCTGTTGACACCCCAATCGAACACTGAGAGGCATTTCTATCCCACGTCAAAGAAAAGTACCCTGTGTAACAGTTTCATGCCTTTTAATTCATTATTTTTATGAATATATAAATTTTATATGCAAAAATCGCCCCTTATCATTTGTTAAGTGGGTTCGAGTTCATTTTTCCCGTGATACTTACTTACTGATGCTAGAAAATTTAACTCTGCCAATAATTTCAAAAAATATTTCAGTTCGCTTACTTTGTATGCCCCAAGAATTTTCAATGGAATTGAGTTTATTTTCATATTCACTGGGATTTTCCTTTTGTAATCTAATAGACAATTGGGTAAAGTAGAGAAAAAAAGGCATATTTAGTTAATGTCAACAGAAAATAAGGAAAATTCTAACTAAACACCTTGAATTGACAGAAAATAAACCACAGTCAAGAATGTTAGAGGATTGATTTGAATTTGGACAGTTTGTTCTGAACTCAGTTACAAAGAACAGATGGCTTGATGCGAAGTGCTAAGTTATCAGTCACGCATTGTGTGTATGTGGGCTGATGATACTATCTAGTTGGTTAGGATGGGGTAGGTGTGCAAGGATTCGAACCTGGAGTCCTGTTGAGTTCAAGCCACAAACTAACCGACTAAATTACTGGACATCTGCACAAGAAGCTGACATGTTAACCTGAGACAAAGCAATTCGGTTCAATCAATCGACGGGAAAATCTAAAAATTTTAATTAAATAATTAATATGACCTGTTGCACAAGAGGTGGCTCTCGCGGCCCAGATAGTCTAACTCGTTGGCGTTTGGAACTATGAGCACTGAGTTCCAGCCTCGGTGGGAACATCATCATTCACTGGGAAATGCAGGTACATCCAACCGACGAGTCCCAGACAGGACGAAATGCGCATCCTGGCTGGATTCCACTGCTAGTCACCATCCGCAAATTAAATTGCTTGAAAGTGACAAAACAGAAGATCAGTGTTCTCGGGTTTCTAGTGATTTGCTAACTGATTTACTTGGTGACAAAATCCACAGTAGAATCTATTCCATAATTCTCACAAAAGCAATAATTTGAACACATTAATTCCCATGACATTCTTGGCTATTGGACGGATGTCCTGAATTGACAATGAGAAATTGTGACCAGTAGGTTCTACACTGTCCATGTGAAGTGTATTCTCATTAACAGCACTGGTTGGCGGGTATAGCTATATGACGACTAGACAAGGTCGCAGTTCACAGGTCAACGAACTGGCCTCGTAACCTGGAAGTCTCTCGTGGGTTCAATCAATTCCTATCAGGGTAACCGCAGCGCACAAGTGAAGAGTTTTAAACTGGGACGAAGCAGCTGTCCTGTGCTGCCTGGTTTTCAGTCATCCTCTAACTGTTATTGGTTCGTAACGACTTCGACATTGCCAGTCAACACACTTGTCAAAAATACCTGAGAAATTCTATCAAGTCAATTAAAATTATTTTGTTTTTTAAGCATCACACTTCCCTATGCAATCCCATACCTATAATTATTCACCCTGACAATACTTTCAGTGAATCAACAGTTCAATCGTGGAATGAGATTGCAGATCGTCCAGCTTCCTCTCCGAGTCGATGTACGCATAAACCCCAGCTAGTCCAGTAGTTGATAATTAAACCCGGAGGAAGAGGAAAAAGAGGTAGCAAGTAAACCTAATAAGAAGTGCAGAAACAAGATCATGAAGTCGTAGAATCAATTTGATGTCCGGGTGGACAGGTATTGAGTCATTCCTATTTCACGTATTCTCGACTAATACGATAAATAAACCTTCCGTTATCGATCAATATCTCACTCCATTCTGTTATGTAAGATTTCTTATCCTATTCAGGTCAACTAATCTAGATGATTTTATCAAAATCTAGAAGTATTCAATACCTATTCCAGACATTTGAAAAATTCTGCTGCCCTTAAGACGAATGCGAGGAGGAGTAAATAGAACTGCAATACTTCATGTTACAAAGTTGTGTTTTTTTGAATTGATGATATGATTACGAAGAAGAAATTTGTGTTGAAAACTTTATCAATCCAATTAACTATAGTACTGAATGACTGATTTCAACATAGAAATTTTCACAAATGTGCAGCGCTTCCAGCTACCACATTCCGTGTAGCACAAAAAAGAACAGAGGAGAGTAAAGAGGGACTCCTCATCAAAAAAGAGGTAGATAATAAACAGAGGTGTGAGGGAAAAAGAATCGTAGTATGGAAAAACAATAGAGTTTTACTGGATATAACAAATTACAAAGAGTGAACGCATCTGCGTCAACCATTGAGAACGAGGATTTTAAACCCCGTTCCTCGACGGGCAATGTTACCTGACAAAGGGCTAGCAAGAGATAGCGAGGAACAAACCAAAACATGGCTTCACCAGTCAATGAAATCCACAACAGTTAGTTTAAGCCAGCCACGTAGGAAGGTGTAGACTTCCTGACTGATTAGGGTCTGTTTTCGACATTAAACTTTGCACATATGTACGGCAGTTCGAGTAGCCACACTCCATGTAGTATACAAAGCAAGAGAGGAAAGTAGAAGAAATGCATAATAGAGACAGTAAACAGAGGTGTGAGACAAAGGAATAATAATAACGAAGAATATAGTTTCATTTCAAATCATAAGTTACAAGGAGTAGATGCATCTGCTCCAGTCATTGACAATGATTTTGAGCCATATCACCAATTGTTTCTAGCCATTTGTTTTCACCATCTCGAGGACCCCAACCAATCAGGAAGTCTACATCTTGCTACGTGACTGGCTTAAACTAACTGTTGTGGATTTCATTGACTGGTAAAGCCATGTTTTGGTTTGACCGCCGCTAATTCTTTTCCAACCTTACCCTATGTCACTTATCATTGCCCGTCGAAGAAGGCGGTCGATGACTAGGCATACGTAACACATGTCCTAACCACCTTAGTCGATGTAACTTCACTATCTCATCGATTGATTTCCCCTGCTTACCTAGAACTCGACGCCTAACCTCATAATTGCTCACCTTATTATATCACTTCACACGGAAGATAGACCGCTGGCACCTATGATCAAAGACAGCTAGCCAGCCTTTTCATGTCTTCCACATTTAATGGCCAGGTATCACTGGCAGGCTTAACGGAGGACGGCGTGTACTGCTGCTTAGCAGTAGACACACACCTCCTTTGGTCGATAGCCAGCCGGATATCATGCGTACGCCAGACATGGCGTAAACTGGCATACGCGGAACGAGCCTTCTGCATCCATGCTGAGATTTCATCGGAGATCAACTCGTTGGCACTGGTTGATGCAACTTCCCAAATAAGTGACGTGGTCAACACTCTCAGGCACCACTTCACTCCTTATCTCTAAACTAGGAGTCAGTGTAGTCCAGTCCTGTAGCATCATCATCTTATATTTGGCGGGAGAGAATCGCATGCCAAACATTTGTAGATTGTAGCTCACGGTGTTCAGAAGACTCTGCTCTATTTTGTCAGCGTCCTCGCCTAGAAGGACTGTATCATCCGTGTGCATATTCTAAGTCAACGAGATTATTCCCTGACGGTAGCAAGTCACTCCCTGAGTCTCTGAAGTGAGTTAGGGTTAAGTCCATTAGTACATCTATGATGAAATTGAATAGAAATGGGAGATAATGCGGATAACAGACAATTTCAGAGAATGTCTATATTGCCTCCATAGAAATTATGTTATTAAATCTATTAAAAACTGGCATAAAGAACCATCAATGATTGAAAGGAGAAGATAAAAACACACGTTACCATCTTACCTCACTAATGATTGGGCAACACTCAATATTGATTCTTTGGGTGATACACTCTAAAAAGCGAAACAGCGGTGAAATCGAGTGTTATAATAAATGAAAAAACAAAACACAGAACAACAACAACTAAAAAAATCAATACTGAGAAAATAATTAAGCATTTATGATGTTCTACCTCCGGTTTAGTTAGTGTTTTACACGTCTAGTTAAGATTAATAATATTACCAGAATTTCATTATGAATATAAATAAGAAGTGTGGCATATGCTACTGACAGGGTTTATCAGTAGTGTATACACGCAGATTGATAGGAAGCAGCCAACACATTGAAAACAACCTTTTAAATTCAATGGCTCCAGAGACGGTAGTGTTCACATTCCCCAGATATGGATTTAGTTTACGTTATGGTGCGGTGAGAGCAGGCTGCTAGCCAATTGGTAGACATTAAATTACGTCAATGTCTTGGTCACTAATATTGGCCGTGAGAAAATATCAACAAGGCTGATTCAACAACCAATCACAGCAGACTTAACGTGAGCAAATAAGATTCTCAAGTATATGGCTTAACTTTCCGAGAAACCAGAAACAACCAATCAGAAGACTGTGTTTGTCTGCTTGAATAAGCTATAATAATGTACATAAAATATATACAAATACGTGCTGATTTCCGTAATAAAACGATCTGTTGCCGGCACTTGTCTTCTGTTGTTACAGTGGTCATAAAATAATTTTTGTAGAAAAATTTCCGACTGGAGATTTAACCTTCAACAAGTCGACAATCAGTCAGATGAGCTTATCATCTACTGACCTAACCGGCCTTTAATTCGGCTAAAAATGTATAAATATGTCGTGTTTTGTCTTAATAAAAAGTCCGTTACAAAGTCTTTTGTTTTCTCCCTTTACAGAATTATCTGATACTTCAGATTCAAAGATTAGCTATGATTATTAACTGATGAACATCATCGTATTAGTCTGGTAGTGAATGCATCAAATTTCTTAGGACTTCAATTGATGGCAGAATGCTTCTTGTCAACCGTGTGGGAGGTTAGAGTCCAATTCCATGCCGATGCACACTTAGACCTCACCCGTCTACCTTGCTGGTAGTAGCAAGTATGGAAAAAAGGAAGAGGCGAGGTGTTGTGTGCTGAGGCTATCAACCTTACCCAGTTAGAAAACCACCGCTATCGTTGAAACTTTAAAACCTTTAAAAAAAACCTATTTCGTATTCATAAAGCAAAATGAACCGTGAAAAAAGTTAACGTTAGTGTTAAGTGACTGGTAGAGAGGGGGCAACAGTAGTGTGAAACTCATTAGCTGGTATTGTACTGACATCTCAGTGACTGACACTATTTTCGCTACGACTCCATTCATCATTTTGAATTCCTGCAGAGGGATATTCCTATTGGCTCCTGAGTCTTGAAAGGCATTTCGTGTGTGCATTATTGCACACACTGTAACAAGAGGAGGCAAAACACAGTAGCCAAGGTATATATTTAATTGGTCAAACAGCTATTTATTTATACACAGTTTATATTCTTGAATCAATCACTGAGCGTGTGATTTTGGCTCACACTAAACGATATGTGAAACAGAATGTTCAAATATATACATAGTATTCTGTTGATAGAGCAGTATTGAACTGTGGTAACATGTGAGAACAATATTCCGTTGACACAAATTGTCTATTTCACACATCACCACCACCACAACACAACCGTCACACTAGGAGATGACATGACGACAGTGGAAAGTAATTCAACCCTTAGGGAAGTCAAAAATATGACAGGAAATTTGAAGTAATTTCCAATAAAAAATTAAGACAACTTTGATTTTGTGGTTAACTCAGTTACATGTTAAAATATTGCAGTTCGCAGTATGAGCTATCTGTCTACCAACTAAACACACACATCTGTCTGTTTTCGACATAGAACTTTGCACAAATGTGCGCCAGTTCAAGTCGCCACACTCCGTGTAGCACGCGAAGCAAGAGAAGAAAGTACAAGAAAAGCATAATAGAAACAGTGAGCAGAGGTGTGAGACAAAGGAGGAGTAATAACGAAGAACAAAACAGTTTCATTGGAGATCATAAGTCACAAGGAGTGGATGCATCTGCGCTAGCCACTGAGAACGATTTTGAGCCATGTCATCAATTGTTTCCAACCATAGATTTTTACCGTCCCGAGGACCCCAGGCCTGGACGTCTACACCTTCCTGTCTGTCTGTTTTCGACATAGGACTTTGCACAAATGTGCGGAAGTTCAAGTCGCCACGTTCCGTGTAGCACGCGAAGCAAGAGAAGAAAGTACACCTTCCTACGTGGCTTAGACCAACTGTTGTGGATTTCATTGACTGGTAAAGCCATGTTTTGGTTTGACCTTCGCTAGCCTTTTTCCAGCCTGACCCTATATCCGCTAACATTGCTCGTCGAGGAAGGCGATGACTAGGCATTGATGCGTAACACATGTCCTAACCATCTCAGTCTTTGTAACTTCACAACTTCGTCGATTGATTTCCCCTGTTTACCTAGAACTCGACGCCTAACCTCAATGTTGCTCACCTTATTATGCCACTTTACACGGGAAATAGAACGCAGGCACCTATGATCAAAGACAGCTAGTCTTTTCATGTCTTCCACTCTCAGTGGCCAGGTCTCACAGCCAACCATAAAGGAGGACGGAGCGGACTGATGAGCATTACACCCGCCCTTTGATCGACAGTCGAACATCTCGTCTACGCCAGAGTCGGCGTAAACTAACAAATGCGAAACGAGCCCCTTGTATTCGTGCTGAGATTTCGTCAGAGATCAGCCCGTTGGGGCTGATGGTACTTCCCAAATAAGTGAAGCGGTCAACGTGCTCTACCACTTCACTTCCTATTTTTAAACTAGGCGTCGATGTAGTCCAGTCCTGTAACATCATCTTGCATTTGGCGGGAGCGAATCGCATGCCAAGGTGTTTAGAAGACTCTGCATTTTGTCAGCGTCTTCGCCTAGAAGGACTATATCGTCTGCATATCCCAAGTCAACGAGATTATTCCCCGGTAGCACACACATTGTCTACAATTATTTCCAATGGTTGGAAACAATTGTAGATATGGCTCAAAACCGTTCTCAATGACGGCGCAGATGCATCCACTCCTCGTGACTTATGATTTCCAATGAAACTGTTTTGTTCTTCGTTATTACTCCTCCTTTGTCTCACACCTCTGTTTACTGTCTCTATTATGCCTTTCTTGTACTTTCTTCTCTTGCTTTGTGTGCTACATGGAGGGAGTGTGGCGATCTGAACCGGTGCACATCGGTACGACGTTTTATGTCGAAAACAGACAGGCAGACATATATATATATATATATATATATATATATATATATATATATATATATAAGTCTATTTTTTTCTAGGAAGGCATGTAAGCAAATCATTAAGAGAGAAAGGTTTATCAATTGTAAACATACCATTTGACCAACAGTGGTTGATGACTTTTCATTTGATTTACTTCCGATACCTTGGGAACAGAAAGAAATCAAAAAATTAGAACAGAATAGAATAGACCGGGAACTACAGTTTTTGCAGAATAAAGTGATACCATCATTTATTTCGTTGCCGAAAGCCTACTTTGGAAAGGACGATACTTACATTTTAGTCGTGCTTGTCCAAATAGCTTTAAACGCGGACTAGTCAAGACTCTGTAATATAGAGCAAGGAGAATATGCTCTATAGAGAAATCAGAGGAAGAATTTATGTTTCTTGAAAAGATGGTGAAGAGCAGTGGCTAGCCTCAAAGATTCATTAACAAATATGGAAGATCTGAAGTCACAAATGTAAAACAAATCACAGTGGAGAAAAAGCCAATCTACATTCAACTTGACTATAAAGGTGAGAATATTACAGCAATGGTCAACAGAATACTGAGTACATTACTAGCCAGAGCCTATCCTGCAACTAAGCTGGTTCCCGTCTATCGAACAACTTGCTCTTTGGTGCAATCAAAAATCGATAGATATCCTTCTCATGTTAAATCTAATAGTATATACAACTTTACATGTATCTGCGGGAGCAGTTACATTGGAAGGACAGAAAGAAGAGCATATCTACGATTTTCTGAACATGTACCAAAACGTTTATGTCCAAAGGGAACAAATGCTTTAAACAGTGCCATCGCCAGACATCTTCTTGACACGGGCGTCACAAAATCGTTCAAAATTATCAATAGACAAAAGAGCTCAATTCTCCTCGAGTTTGCTGAAGCCATTTCCATCAAGAGCCTGAAACATGATATGTGTGTTCAGAAAGAAACAGTCATTAGTCTTTCTTTGTCCTGGTAAGTGGATATTTTCATCTCTCTTTCATCTGGTTACGCAATGTCGAAAATTTCCAGTGTGTATAATCCCCAATGTTCAGAATAGTGTTTAATATTAATATATATATATATATATATGCATATATTTATTGATTTTTGTTTAAAATGAAGTCTCGGCGCAAGTATGTTAAAATTGTGTCTGTAGATATACTTAATAATGACTGTAGCCTGTGGGCAGATGATGAGAGGCAATGAAATAAGCAATGATGGTATTACTTTATTCTGCAAAGACCGTAGTTCTCGCTTTATTCAAATTCATTAAGAGGAATAAATGTATGGAATTTCTGAAGAATACAATAGAACAACAACAAAATGGACATATTGAAGGTCAACATAACAATGAAGATCACTAAACCAAACAACAGAGGTAATAGTACATCTACGTACCCTGACTGGTATCAAAACAAAGTTTACCAAGGAAGGTAGGTTTAGTGTGATGAAGAATTGTTGCATTGACCCCATAAAGCTGGTTTAAACTTCTTAATTGCTAGCTAGGGCTTCCACAAGCATTAGGATACACCCTCTGCCAAACACTTTTTATAGATAGGTTTAAAAGATGTGTAAACATCAATTTTATGCCTGTCTCTATAACATGTCTGGCAATAGAGGAGCTAGGTCATCGTCTGTTCTTACCACTAATGGGTTCTCAAGATTATAATTGCTTCTGGAGCCATTTAGGAATATGCTGTGAAGCCAGCCCTTACTTGCAGAGATCGACGAGTCCTCCTTATGTAAGTGTGTCCACACGTACATTGAAATTGGTAAATACAGTGGGATGTGACATCATTTTTTACATCTTCAAAGGGCTTAGATGGATGGATATATTGGCTTCACATTCTCAATTATTATGATATTAGCTGCATTAAAAGTCTTTTTGACAGCAGTGTTCAGTCTATGTCTAGTTATCAAGCTGTTTTGATGCCCCATATAAGGTAGCTTGATATACACATCTTTCTTAGGGGCGAGTTGGAGAGTGGATCGTGGTGTTCTGACTACTTTATATCTCCTAATGAACTTATCAACCAGAGTTTGTGTCAACAACAAAATGAAAAAAATCTGTGGAACACTGAAATTGAATAAAATGACAAAGGCAATAAACGAATAGAATATAATACAAAACAGCTGTGTAAAGAATACTCGAAGATCTTCAACACATGTGAGAGACAGGCGAAATATAACTCCGAATTTTCAGGCAACTGATGTTAATTCACCGATCCCATCTAATAGGCTTCAGGGAAGCGATACACGCGTCACCACAAATAGCTAGTCAAAACTTTCTATTAACTTCTGACTTTACTGGCACGATACTGAATAATAAATGTCCGGGTGTAAAGGTGACGCTTAGGCTACTAACAAGAAACTTTGATCACCAACCAGTCAACCATTACCTATGGATGGATTGGACATGAGCGGAGGAAGCCATTTATCAAGGGACATCACACGTCAGCTTTGTCCTCAAAAGAGAAGCAACTTGGAGGAGGTCATATGAAGTACAAAATAAAATAGTCTGTTAGGAATTGTGGAGTCTAAATAAAGAAAACGGACAATGGAGATGTGCCGATGTAGCACTCACTATATTTCACTCGGAACCCTAAAGATGAATAGTAATAATGGTAGTAAAATATAGCTCCAGAAAGTGTTAGTATAGAAATATCTTGTCAATATGAGTTAAATATAGGGGTGCTTACCTGCTATTCGTCCACTGAACAACAGGGTGTTCAGATCTGCAAAGCTACAAGTTGGGAAAAAATTATTTTAAAAAAAGGCTAATAAAATAAAAATATCAAAACTCAATGAAAAATGATTTAGAAAGGGTGTTTGATAAAAGATATAAAATTGTAACTGATTGAAACTTTATTCAAACATCAGTGTTTACTGCGGGGATTAGATCGACTAGAATATCGATCACGAATTGACTTCACAGTTAGACAACCGCTGAAGGCTAGAAAGCATTGGATGGCTGCTTCGTCCTTGTTTGGGACTCTTTAGCAGTACACACCCATGACCACGCTAGAGATCAAAACCACGAAGTCGTGATCGACAAGATCCATCAAGTTAGGCGTGAAGGCAGACAGCAACCAATAACAATGGCTGGGACAGTGGAGGCGATATCGTGGTGAATCGGCGAAAGTAAGAATTGACGAGCCATTGAATGAAAAGGTACACAAAACCTCACCTGATAACCTGAAGGTCATGGGTCTGATCACTAGGGGAGGGATCATGAGTGCGTAGTGCTGAGGACTCTTAAACAACGACGAAATAGATCTCTGGTTTCTGATTGTTACTCTAATTGAAATCAATTCATGATCGAAATTGAAACCTATCTACAATATTTTAAAATATATATCAAGCAATCATCAAGAGCAAGAATAATTCGTGTTTTTGATGCCGCTATAAACAGTGTCTAGTGGTCTTTGACATTCATAGGTGTTTGTGTGTGTTTGTATGTGGAGTACTCAACTAATTTGATGGAAGCAGTCAGTGCATATACTACAGAGTTGGCTCCACTCTGTTGAGATGATAACATTAAAATATCCTGGACTTAGGAAAACACTTTAAATAAGTCAGGCATTTAGAACAGTGTATAGATGAACCACAGAGAGTTCGTCGAATGACGACAAACTGTAAGACACCATAATCTTAATGTGATGTAATATTAAGGAGTGAACTACATTAGTGTCACACGACTACAAAGGAGTATAGACTGTTTATTGAAGTCTTTTGAAAACAGCAGTCCCATTTCGAAAGAACAACTTTTAAACCCATGTTAGGCTATTCTTTAAAAAAAGCAGGACTGAGCAACACTTATTGTGTGTGTGTGAGGGGTGGGGGAAAGGGCTAGGGATACTACTCAATCGCCCAAACTGAAGTCGATGGATCGGGACTCGAACCCTGGGCCACCACTCATTAACCGAAAGTTTAGTGCTTAAGCCAGTGCACCCACCACATATCTACAAAAAGCAGAACAGGTTAGTGGAATACGGCACGAATTCGCTCTTCTCATACCACTACTCTACATCACGGAACAAACTTTTTCATACTGATCGGAAAAAATTGAAGCTTAAATTACAACTTAAGATAACCCCCCTCAGTTATGATATGCTTGATTGACTAACCATACATCAAAGTATGTCACCACTCTGAGGTTCTTCTTTTATTTTTTTTAAAAACGCCGAAAGCACTATTTCTGCCCAACACAAACACATTCCTGTTGTTTATCCATCTGATATCTGATAAAAAGACGAATCTGATAATGTTGTTAAGTCATTATTTCTCATGCGTTAAACTCCTCTATGTGTTTCCGAAGTTGTTTATCTTCTCAGTTGTGTCATGTAAAACTTTTAAAAAATGAATAGGGAAATGTATAATACATCAATATACTTACGGAAGTCGATTTGTCGAATAATCAACAGTGAGCCGTATTAGAGTCTCCTGATGGGTGTATAAAAATATAAAAAAGAGGGCAAAATTAGTTTTCAAGACTTGATTTGTTTTGATTGTTTTTTGAGTTTGATCACGAATTGATACCAGTTAGAGAACCATTGGAAAAAACCAACAGTCAGTGCTGGACAGCTGCCTCGTCAACCAAGATGGTCAGTCCTAGAACCTTCCGGTTACAAGGCAAGCTAGCTAGCTCCTATCTCATTCAACTACTGGGGACTCGATTCAATGATCAGCGCATGAATTCGAACTTCTACCAATTTGTGATGCATCTGGCGAGACTGGCATCAGCCAATGTCATCGGAGGGAAAACCATCCTCACTACCGACTGGATAGATGACACTCGTCACGAATTCTCATTAGAACTCTAGGAAGCTCTGCGGATTCCATTGGCTGGATGGGATACAAGCTTGTCTTGTAACCAGGAGGTCCAGTGTTCGACCCCCCTCTGTGCTGGGTGTGTACTGCCGATGATTCACGAACTAGGATGAAACAGCTGTCCAGTACTCCAGTGCTGGTTTTCAATGGTTCTCTGACCGATATCAAACCCTGGGCAAACTCGTAAAACAAAATTAGTTATTTGAATATATATACATAGAATATTATATATGAGTGGGTCATCTGATGGTGACTTGGAGATGGTCATGTGGTGGGAAGGAGATGAGAGATTATGGGCAATTGTTGACCCAGCTCAAGAGGACAACAGAAAATAGGAGACAGTGGAGATGTGTTGTTGAATCTCTATGTTCCACTCGGAGCTCAAGGGAATTACATATATATATACGTATATGTGGGAGGAATACAAATTTGATTTGATGACAGAAACTGAATGCAACACTGGAAAGGAGACTGTCTCGCTTGCACTCTAAACACTAGTCCAAGACCACATACCATAGGAAACAATCGAAGTCAAAATATCTTGATAGAACACATACGTCTAATATCCTCTCATCAGCCATCAATCGTGAAAATGTTCATTCACGCGGTGATGTGCTACAACTGTTTTTAGTTGGGCCCTCCAAATGATTACAGCATAGTATAAAATTCTCACAATATATAATAGGAGTCTAGACAGTATATCAGTCGCACAGCTGGAGACAACAAGTATAGCATTTATTAAACAGTAATAAGGTGTGTTTTTCCCATGGGATGACCGGCAGGACAAATATTCTATCTCTCCAGTCGTCTGTGGAGGGCGCAGGTTAGAAATGGTTGACTCCGAAAACTGTACATCTTGAAGTACTTCACACGTAGTCTTTTGTATGCATATAGTGTACGTTTTGAATACACTGAGCCAATTGCAGAAATCAATTCGAACAGGCCATGTGTAACCCTATGCATCAGATCTCGATCATCAGTCATCTACCTGGGCTTTTTGAGACACTATTTTCTGTTTTGAAACACTTTTTCTCTGTTTTCAGATATTCCAAGACATGGTGTGCAGCGATCGGGAAGATATAACCACCCCTGCCGCCCACCCATACACACAAAGCTCCTCTATTCATTATCAGCCACCTTGATCTATCATCATCATAAATCAATCCACCGGCCATGTCTGAGTTGTATAGTTCAATACAGTTAAGTTTACATATTCTACGGTTATGAAAATATCAAACATATATACACACATACCTCTGACACACCAGCACTTCTCATTGCAGACAACAACCAGTCGGTCTTGTCGAAGACAATATTCTATAAAAGAAAAATAAACAAAAAAGAAAACTACAGCTCTGGATTTAATCATGTTTACAAGGAGTCAACATAGGCGAACAACATATATCTCTCTCTCCCTCACAGTGTGAATAAACACATAATGTCGCCTGAAAATATGAGTCGAAAGTATCGTAATCAATAACAGTGATCTGGCACATAGAATATGTTGCAGTCATCAGCAGAGTCCAACATGCGTATTTCCTTTTAGTCAAGACACATCAGATGGATAATACACCTATATCACCAATGAAAAACGATGTCCCCACCCACGGCCTTAAACACCAAAGTGTTGTTCCGCTAGGTGATTAAGGTCATCAGAAAGCTGTCTCTTCTACGTGTGAGCAGAGACAAACACTCCAGGTCTAATATATATATATATATATATATATATATATATATATATATATATATATATATATATATATGTTTGTAATGGTATAAACATAAAAATGGATTACGTATATAAACCCCGACCGATAACTGCTACCCCTGTCGTCGTGGTCGGGTTTGAATACCGTAATGACTCAACATGCTAAACTGACTGGGACTCTGTCCTTGCACGTCCTACCATGTCAGGAAGGTTGTTTGGATAGCGGTTAAACTAAAAGCATTTACCATGGGCTCCAGTATCCAATCGGATCAAATGGCGTATGAACCCATTTGGGTCACCGTCAACCATGGGGATGCAGCTCCCGATGCTGTCTTGCGGATTAGACTCCAAGTCAAAGACTCGGCGGGTGGTCCCTTAATAAAACCACCTGCTTCGGTCTGGGCACCCGGGAAGTATCTCAGCGCTCACACAATGAATTGAATGAAGCAACAAACAATCAATGAAACTTAACGCGTGCTATTACACGTGTTGCAATTTCTTTCTTTCTTCCTTTCCCGATGACAGTTAACGAATACTGTTTGAACTTGTTAAGCATGACTGTTTTCCTTCCAGATGAAGTTCTTTATCCGTTCTCTACTTATACATATATATATTTTTCTCTTCTGTCTTTATTTTTTTCTTCTGATCTATGCAGTTTTATTACTAGTGTGTGGCGCATCCTTCTTGGTGCCGTATTGTACCAAGTTTTTATGCGTTTAAATAAAATAAATAATGTATATAAGCAATTTACGCAAGGGACAGGCGTTGATCAACAAACATCATCTAGGCGTACCACTCACTTAATTGTCTAAATTATACAATCATTCCGAAAACAACAATCATAACCTTTTTACACCGGGATGGTAGAACCTTACATAAGAAATGAGCTGATAACACCCATGAGAACGAAAACTGAAATGCTCTTTGTTAAGCGCCTTTTCAGCAATTCCGAGTTAAAGACCATAGAATATTTTGTATAAAGCAAGCACAATAGCGGTTTGTGTAGAAAATAGATGGTACCATCATTCATTTAATCGGCTTTTCATCAAACGCTTACAATCTAAAAACATTATAAACTCCATCGGATAACATGCTTATTGGTGCAGTGAAAAGTCAACAGATACCATTCTCATGCTAACTCCAACTGTGGGAGCAGTTACTGTCTGTCTGGATTCAACATAGAACTTGGCACCGAAGTGCACCAGTTCGAGTTGCCACGTTCCAAATAGCACACAGAGGTAGACAAGAAGATGAGTGAAGAGAATCAATAGAGTTTGACAAGTATAAGAGTGAAACAGAATGGGTAATGGTAGAAAGGAATATGAAAGATTACAGAGACTGAATACATCTGCCTGGCCATTGACAACGATTTTGAGCCATGTCACCTATTGTCTCCAGCCATTGATTCCTAGAGTCCCGAGGGCCCCAACCCGGGAGTCTGCATCTCCCTCCCTACCTGACTCAGTTTAACTGTCAAGGATTTCATGGATTGATGAGGCCATGTTTTTGTTTGGCCACCACTGGCTCTTTTCCAACCTGCACCTATATCAGCTAGTAATGCCCGTCGGGGGAGGCGGTGGTTAGGCATGCGCACCACGTGACCTAGCCATCTTAGTCTATGTAACTTTATAGCCTCGTCGATTGATTTTCCCTCTTTGCCCAACACTCTACGCCTAACGTCAACATTACTTACCTTATTAAACCACCTAACGTGAGACAGAGATCGCAGACATCTATGATCGAAAGCAGTCAACCTTTTCATGTCTTCAACGCGTATTGGCCATGTTTCAGAGCCATAGAGAAGGACGGAGCGAACAACTGAGCAGTACACACGTCCCTTGGTTGATAACCGGATGTCACGCCTACGCCAGAGATGGTGTAAGTCAGCGAAAGCAGCTCGAGCTTTTCGGATCCGTGCTGAGATTTCATCGCCAATCAGTCCGTTGGTGCTAATACAACTTCCCAAATAGGTGAAGTGGTCAACATGTTCTATCACTTCACTCCCTATCACTAAGTTAGGAGTTGACGTGGTCCAGTCCTGTAGCAGCATCTTACATTTTGCAGGGGCGAATCGCATGCCAAACATACGAAGATTGCTGCTCAAGGTGTTCAGAAGACTCTGCATTTTGTCAGCATCCTCCCCTAACAGGACTATGTCATCTGCATATTCTAAGTCCATAAGACTATTCCCTGGTAACAAGTCGATTCCTAAGTCATTACGTTCAGTTAAGGATACTTCCATCAGCATATCTATGATGAAGTTAAACAGAAATGGGGAAAGTGGACATCCCTGTCGGACACCACTGGTTGTTACCAATTCAGATGACAATTCCCCATAAGCCCTTACACGACTACGTGAGTTTGAATAGAGTGCCTTGATTAGTGCAATGTACTTTCTTGGCACTCCCTTCACAGTCAGACATTGCCATAGTACCTTTCGATCCACGGAGTCGAAGGCCGCCTTCAAGTCAAGAAATATGACAATTGTTGGACGCCGAAAAGTGTGTCTATGTTCTAGAATCTGTCGAAGAGTGAAGATATGATCTATGCACCCTCTACCTGGTCTAAAGCCTGCTTGATTTTCCCTTGTCTGTTCCTCCCGAGTTCTGCTTAGTCTATGCATGATTACTGAGCCTAGGATTTTAGAGACTATGTTCGTTAGGCTGATCCCCCTATGATTATCACACGAGGACTTGTTTCCCTTCTTGAATATCGGTATAATAAGTGACTTACCCCAGTCTGATGGTACTGTCTCTGATTCCCAGACTTTGCCTAGTACCTCAGTTAATCTACAAACTAGTATGTCACCCCCATATTTAAACACCTCCGGAATAATTCCGTCGGGTCCTGCCGCTTTGCCTCGTTTCAAATTACTGATAGCTTTTGTGACCTCACTTACAGACGGCGGACCAGTGTCTATATCCCATTCGGGTGTGTGCTGGATTGGGGGGAGGGGAGGTTCAGTGTGGCTGTAGGCAAGTTAAATTGTTCCTCAAAGTGTTACACTGAGAGACCAAAAAGAAGAGGACGCCTCTGATTTTCTGAACATGTAACGAAAAGCCTACATCTCAAGGGGGAAAAAACGCTTACAATGGTGCATTTCATTACCAAGCATCTCCTTGATATATGGGTAATGAGGTGGAAATAGTAAAATTCTCTAAAATTATCAACAGACAGAAAAGCTTAATTCTCCTCAAGTTTGCTGAAACAATCTCTATTATAAGCATCTGAAACCTGATTTATGTGTTCAGAAAGGAGCAGTTATCAGTCTTTCCTTGACTTAGTAGTAACTAAATATCTTAAGTCCATCTTTCATTTGATTGTGTAATCTTTGGCTTAAACCTCACTCCTTTAATACAATATAGTAATAAATAAATAAATAATTACTATTATCACCATTATGAAATAAGTGAGTTTGGGTGAGGTAAACAGTACGTAAAAAGAATTCAAACCCCTAACAATGAATTAGTAGTAGCATACAGTTCTGTTATTAACATTCCAATCTATACAAAGGTCAAATAGTTTACTAGTTATAAGTTTATCTACTCAGGCATGTAGCAACACAAATTCTTATGTAAAATACAAAAATAACATAAGATGTTTCTCCAGATCTTCTACATACATATACATATCATATGATACAACCAGTAGGACAGCCCTATTTCTTTGCAGTGTAGCTGATCATTTCTCCTTCATCAAAACATCGCAGCTATTTACGACTACTACTACTACTACTACTACTGATTGCTTGATTGATAAAAGTAGTAGGATGCCGGCAACAAGACTGGAAGTGAACTAATGTGCACAACTGTGTGTAAAATCATAACTTTACACGGCTCTGAATAAAAATACGAATTCATGGGCTGGTCATTGAATCGAATCCAAGTGGCTTAATGGCCTAGGAGCTAGCTGGCCTTGTAACCAGAAGATCCTGGGTTCCAACCCCGGTGGTGGGTGCGTACTGATGAAGAATCCCAAAACAGGACGAAACAGATGTCCGATACTCCCTGAAGGTCTCCCAATGGTTCTCTAACTGATGTCAGCTCATCATGATGAAATCCTCCAACCAATCAAACAAAAAAGTCCCTACAAAAAACTAATACTTGAAAATCGATCTCATGTTCACTAGCGATTGGCCTTGGGGTTCTAGTGGGAAGCCGTGGTCAGTAGGTTGCAGCAGGTTGATGGTGAGGCATTAACTCATTGAAGAAAACACTGCGAAGTGGTTGCAGTATGTCATGTATTGACAGAAGTCGGAATTCATGGGCTGACCATTGGAATGGGTCCCAGTGGCTGCTGAATGGCCTACGAACTCGCCTTGTAACGAGAAGGTCCTGGGTTTGAAACCCTTGTGGTGAGTGCGTACTGATGAAGCGTCCCAAACTAGGACGAAAAACAAGATACTCAATTACAACTACAGTAGACTGTCTGTCTGTCTGCTAACGACATAGAAATTTGCGCCAGTGTGCAGCAGTTCGAGTCGCCATACTTCATTCCGCACACAATGCAAGACAAGAAATGTATGGTAGAGACAGTAAACACAGATATGAGGCAAAAGGAGTAGTAATATCGAGGAACAATATAGTTTTATTTATTGGGTATTGTAAGTCACAAGGAGGGATGCATCTGCGCTAGCCATTGAGAACGACGATTTTGAGCCATATCACCATTTGTCTCCGGCCATTGGTTTTTGCCATTCCGAGGACCCCAACCAATCAGGAAGTCTACATCTTCCTACGTTGCTGGCTTAAACTAACTGTTGTGGATTTCATTGACTGGTGAAGCCGAGTTTTGGTTTGACCACCACTAGCTCTTTTCCAACCTGTCCCTATGTCACTTATGATTGCCCGTCGAAGAAGGCGGTCGATGACTAGGCATACGTAACACATGTCCTAACCATCTCAGTCGATGTAACTTCACTATCTCGTCGATTGATTTCCTCTGCTTACCTAGAACTCGACGCCTAACCTCAATATTTCTCCTCTTATTATACCACTTCACATGGGAGATAGAACGCAGGCACTTATGATCAAAGACAGCTAATCTTTTCATGTCTTCTACTCTCAATGACCAGGTCTCACAGCCATAAAGGACAGAGAGGACTGCTGGTCAGTACACCCGCCCTTTGGTCGATAGCCAGTCGGATATCACATCTACTTAGCTAGAGACGGAGTAAAGTGGCATATGCGAAACTAGCCCTGTGCATCCGTGGTGAGATTTCGTCAGAGATCAACCCGTTGGCGTTGGCTGATGGTACTTCCCATATAGGTGAAGTGGTCAACGTGCTCTACCAGTTCACTCCCTATTTCTAAGCTAGGAGTCAGTGCAGTCCAGTTATCATCGTCTTACAACTACAGTAGTACTGCTGACTACTACAACTTTACTGGACAACAGAAACAGCAGGGAGCCACAATGTGAAGATGTGGCCAATCGGCTAAAGTATTTACACTCTAACCAATAGGTCACTTGATTTGAGTCCCGCTTCACTTCATTCATGACCCAAGGCAAATCGGTAATATCATATGATAAAAGTGTCTCCTGACAGCCTGATGGGGTACACATGAGAGACCTGTTTCAGGTAACTTAATACATGCATGAACACATGAAGATGAAAGAGAAGAAGCACTCTCCTATAACAGAAAGAATTACAAAGCACACATATTTACGTGTAAAAATAGAAAGAAAAGTTGAAAATTGTGATATTCATCACATATAACTCCCATTTCTCTCTATGTCTGTCACCTACCTGACGAGCACAAGCATCAGCGACAAGTTGAATCACTGTATTCTTTGGTACATTATTAAAATGTCGATGTTTAGATATTAACAAGGCTTCAAATATTTGTGCAAAAAGTGAATGAAATTCACGTTTACTCATAGCATGATTCAATATACCAAATACTTCAAACATAATCGTGGACTTATTCATTTCTTCTATTTCTGACATATCTGATAACGATAGAATGTTTGACAACTGAAAGGCGATTTAGAAAACAAACAAAAAAGACAATTACATAATCATGATGACATGACATGGTTATAAAAATTGTAAGAATTAAATACAAAACTGAATTAATTAATTGAATTTTAGATTTTCCCATCGATTTGATGGGACCAAAGTGTACGGTCTCAAGTTGACATGTCTATCGGCTTCTTGTGCAGATGCTTCGACGATGTCTAGGCATTTAATTTACAAGTTAATTGGTCTAGTGGATAACGCTTTGGCCGGTGTTTCAAACTATAGGCATTGAGTTCGAGCCCCACTGGGGAATGCAGACACATCCAGCTGATGACGAGTCCCAAATAAGACGAAATGCGCGTTACCCTGGATTTCACTGCTAGTCCCCAACGACCAATTAAAAACTGAATTGTCACAAAGACGAGTTCTTCTTATCATGCTATTGCATTCCTTGTGGTACACACACACACACACACACAGCGATTCCAAGCTTTTTTGTATTTTCAATCGCGGTAGTGTGCTTGCTAGCCACACCTACACCAAGCCTCCTGACTTATGACCAGTCTAAGCGACATTCAGGAGTGAGATGGCCGGGGAATTGAACTCCAACCTCCGGGTATGGATAGCGAAGATTCTACTATCGAACGACCAAAGAAGGGCGAAACAGTCTTAGGCAGTAATTAAAACAAACATGTGTAAGAGATGGAGTAACTAACTTAGGGAAGAGTTATCTGATTGACTGGGTTCAATAAAGAACTTTGCACAGAAGTGGACCACTTCAAATTGCCATACTCCGTATAGCATACACAAAGACGACAATAAGCAGAAAAGTGAGGAAGGAAGAGTAGGAAAATGGAAGAAACAACACAGATTAATGAATACGGCAGATCACAAAGAGTGAATGTATCTGTGCCGCCCACTGTGAATGATTTCGAGCCATATTGCCAATTGGTACTAGATATTGGTGCTTAACATCCCGAAGACCCCAAACCAAGTAGTCTAAAACTGTCTACTTGACTCAGACTAACCGTCGAAGATTTCATGGACTGACTCTGCCAACCTGATCATATATTAGCTAGCATTGCCCGTCGAAGAATGCGATGGATAGGCATACGTAATACATATCCTAACAATCCCAATTAATGTAACTTTCACAACCTCGTTGATTGATTTCTCTTCCTTACGAAGAACTACCAAAACCTAACCTCAATATTACTCACCTTATTATACTACTTAATAGAGGAGATAGAACCCAAGCACGTATGATCAAAGACAAAAAGCTGGCCTTTGATGTCTTCCACTTTCAATGGCCACGTCTTGCAGGCACAAAGAAGGACAAAGCGAACTGTTGAGCAGCACATACGTTTTTTGATCGATAGTCAGATATCATGCCTTAGTCAGAGTTGGTGTAAGTTGGCGTATGACAAACAAGCCTTGCAGAGGTCTTGTCAGCGATTAGTAGGTTGGGGATAATATAACTCCCCAAATAAATGAGGTGGACAACACACCCTACCAATTCATTCCCTATCTTTATGGTTGCAGTCGGTGTAGTCCACTCTTGCAGCACCATCTCAAACTTTATGGGAGAAAATTGAAAATTGCCAAACATTCAAAGATTGCTGTGCTCCTCAAGGTGTTCAGAAGACGCTGCATTTTATCAGTGTCTTCACCTAGAAGGGAGGAGTATATCATTTGCATATTTTAAGTCAACAAGACTTTTTCCCTGGTAACAAGTCAATCTCTACGTCTCTGAAGTCAGTTGGGGTCAATTCCACCAGCAAATCAGTGATGAAATCAAACAGGAAAGGGGACAGTGGGCATCTTTGACAGACATTAATGGTTGTCATCACTTCAGATAGTAACTTTCCGTAAGCTCTTACATGGCTGCACGAGTCCGAGCAGCAATATATGTAGAATTAATAATCACCAATAAATCTGATGATTGTAGGAAGCAATAGCCTTTCAGTTTCTGAAAATGCCATCCACTATGCATCCTGTAGGTGAAGAGAAACGTCGAAATACTGCGAATCTTGTTCTTCTTGCCTCGGAAATGGTGACTGGCTCTTAAGCATTTATATAAAATTGGATATATGTTACTAAAAGCTAAAAGCAGTTATTTCTCTCTTCCACGTTGTTTCCGTACCCAGGGGAACATAGAGCTTCACAAGCTGAGAAGTGTCCTTAGCGGTACTGTTGTTTTTTAAAGGGTGTGGATTGCTAACGGTATACCAAAACCTCCCACCTTCCGTGGGTTTACTAACGACTAAACCAAACTCACTCACTCAGAGACAAACTTTGTCAGCTTATATACCCGATAGATTAAATTACTAGAAAAATAATGACTTACCAAATAACATGTCATGACTCTGAGGTCAATGATATAGGTTAAACTAGTCTTTTATTTATTTTTGATATAAGAATAAAACTTGTGCACTGTGGTAGAATGTAATTCCATTATGGGTAAATTTTGTTTTGATAAAGTCTCACAGTGTTATACAGTAATGTTTACTGATGACGTTTCGAGCACAATTTATTGCTCATAATCATATCATTTATTTCTCTTATTCTTTTACGTTCCCCGTGAAATATAGGGCTTCAAGCTAGTGGTTTGGAGTTTCGGTGGTAGCAGTGGTGTTTATTTTTTACGGGATAGAGTTGCTAGCCTCATACCCAACCTTCCCTCTTTACCAGTCTTGTTACTGGCTTAGCGAGGGAAAGGAGTGCGTTAATGGCTGGGGGATCGAACCCCGAACCACATGCGTAGTTGGCAAGCTATCTACCGCTGTGCCACATATGCATGCATATATAGGAAATTATGAATCCGTGTGAATAGGCATTGATATGATTATGAGCAGTAAATTGTGCTCAAAATGTCCTCCGGTTACTAATACTGTATGACTGTGTGTCAAATCAAATAAACTTGTTAAATATTGGATAAATATTGTGGTGAGAACTGCTAGCTAAATTGGTAGACTGTAATTTACTTCAATTTTTACTACCCCAATATTGATCGTGAGAAAAATAAGAACAAAGACTGATTCAACAACCAACCACAGCAGACTTTGCGTAGGCGGATACAGTTAGCATATAGATGATCTAACATTGAAGAAACGGCCGCAAAGAGATGCAAGATTAACTTTCTGTGAGAAACAACCAATCAGAAGAGTGTTTGTTTGCTAACAATAATCTATAATAATGTACATGAAAATACATAGATATGTGCTGATTTCCTTAATAAACGATCTGTCGCCTGGCCCCTGTCTTCCGTTGTTACACTATTAGCTTAGTTAACTAAGTGAGTTTTAGGCGTGTACCGGTCAAGAATCGAACTCAGACTACTTACTTGTACGGTTGGCGGTCAAAATAAAGTCACACGAGTTTTCAACGAATTGCATCTGTGCAAAACGATGAAGAAAAAAGATTCCCGCCTCCACCACCACAACCCAAGTAAAGCGTAAATCAGTCGACCTAAAATCATAGTAGCTGAGTAACTTACTAAACCCAAAAAAATAACAACACCTAAGGGACCACCAAGCTTGTAGTAATCATGTAGACACACACATGTGTAGGTGTCCAGTTAACCGCTTACCAATTTCTCCATTTGATAATTGCCAACACGTATGAAGTCGGTGTAGGGGAGAAGCTTTTTAGCACGATATTCATTTACCAAGGATAAACATTTCTTTAAATCTTCTTTAAAGGTTTCTTTAGAGTCAATTGATAACACTGAGTTCAGTACATAGCCAAAGGCCAAGGCTCCATTAATTTCAGGATTCTGAAAAAAAGAAATAGGTATACACAAAAAATGAATAAGAAGGCGGAAAGGATGCCGAAATGAAAGCATAATATCATGAAAGACAAAATAAAGGAAGCGCACGTGTATGTATGTGTGCGACAATGATCGAGCTTAATTTATACTGCAAGCCTGAAATCTAAACTTACATTATTATTACGACTATTATTATCACCTAAAGGCAGCATTCGACTCTGTCGATAGAGAAGTTCTCTGGAGATGCTTGGCTGTAAAGGGAATTCCGAGAAAATATATTGCACTGATTAAGGCACTCTACTCGTACTCATACAGCCAGGTGAGGGCTTACGGCGAGCTGTCATCTGAACTGATGACGACCAGTGGTGTCCGTCAAGGATGCCCATTATCTCCTTTTCTATTCAACTTCATCATAGATGTGTTAATGGACTTAACCCTAGGTGACTTCAGTGACTCAGGGATTGACTTGCTACCGGGAATAATCTCGTTGACTTGGAATATACAGAAGATATAGTCCTTCTAGGCGAAGACGCTGACAAAATGCAGAGTCTTCTAAACACCTTGAGCCGCAATCTACGAATGTTTGGCATGCGATTCGCTCCCGCCAAATGCAAGATGATGTTACAGGACTGGACTACATCGACGCCTAGTTTAGAAATAGGAAGTGAAGTGGTAGAGCACGTTGACCGCTTCACTTATTTGGGAAGTACCATCAGCCGGTGCCAACGGGCTGATCTCTGATGAAATCTCAGCACGAATACAGGGGGCTCGTTTCGCATTTGTTAGTTTACGCCGACTCTGGCGTAGACGAGATGTTCGACTGTCGATCAAAGGGCGGGTGTAATGCTCATCAGTCCGCTCCGTCCTCCTTTATGGTTGGCTGTGAGACCTGGCCACTGAGAGTGGAAGACATGAAAAGACTAGCTGTCTTTGATCATAGGTGCCTGCGTTCTATTTCCCGTGTAAAGTGGCATAATAAGGTGAGCAACATTGAGGTTAGGCGTCGAGTTCTAGGTAAACAGGGGAAATCAATCGACGAAGTTGTGAAGTTACAAAGACTGAAATGGTTAGGACATGTGTTACGCATCAATGCCTAGTCATCGCCTTCCTCGACGAGCAATGTTAGCGGATATAGGGTCAGGCTGGAAAAAAGCTAGCGGCGGTCAAACAAAAACATGGCTTTACCAGTCAATGAAATCCACAACAGTTGGTCTAAGCCACGTAGGAAGGCGTAGACTTCCTGACTGGTTGGGGTCCTCGAGACGGTAAAAATCTATGGTTGGAAACAATTGATGACATGGCTCAAAATCGTTCTCAGTGGCTAGCGCAGATGCATCCACTCCTTGTGACTTATGATCTCCAATGAAACTGTTTTGTTCTTCGTTATTACTCCTCCTTTGTCTCACACCTCTGCTCACTGTTTCTATTATGCTTTTCTTGTACTTTCTTCTCTTGCTTCGCGTGCTACACGGAGTGTGGCGACTTGAACTGGCGCACATTTGTGCAAAGTTCTATGTCGAAAACAGACAGACAGAGACAGAGACATCACCGTCATCCCCTTGGGTTCCGAGTGGAACGTAAGGCTTCACAGCAACATATCCTTATCTCACTCTTTTACCCCCTCCCCTCGTAGTTCTTTTTACCTGGATCCACAATTGGCCATACGCTTCCAATTCCTCTTCATACGATCCCCTATATGTCACCCTAGAATACATGCCCTACTCGTCGTCTCTCATTCGCATTCCACTCGTCAACCTGAAGCATGATGATGTCATTACTCAACCGTCTTCTGAGTGTATACCCAACCCATCTCCATTTCCATCCACACATATTCGTTAAGCGTGTGTGTTATAACTCCGTCGCCATTTTTTTATGCCTGCACCTGTTAATTACTATAACTGGTACGCTAGTATGCCTATTGTCCGTTGTACCTTCCGATTCTCTGAGCTAAGCAAATATCAAAAACAAAGACTGGCCTGTGACTGTAAGATACTGTATTATACACTTTCATTACCATAGTAAAGTCAGCCCCGAAAACCGTGGGAATGGATTGTTCCTATTGGCTGGAAATATCTATCCTGAGAGGTTAACGATCCGACAAAAAACGAAGGTGGGATAAAAGACGATGAATTGATCTCACACACTAAATCACAATATGCGTGAGAAATGATGCATTCACATAGTAACTCCATCACACGTGTACCTTAGATGCCGCTGTTGTCCTACATCATAGTATAGTCTCTAGTTTAGATAAAGGAGCTAAATACGTTCGCTGTGCCTTCCTTGATTACACATCTGCATTTGACTCTGTACCTAGGTCTCTCTTGCTATGTAAGCTCGCTGCAACACAGGCTGAGAGCTGGACAAATAAGTGGTTGCATTCCTATTTTTCCGATAGGAAGCAGTATACCGTCTATAATGGAAAGTCCTCCACTACCTCACTTATTTTAGCTGGTGTTCCTCAAGGTGCTGTTCTTTCTCCTTTTCTGTTTTCTTTTTTCTTACATGATTTGCCTCATTCTGATGTAGTCACTTTTGTCAAGTATGCTGATGACCTCTCTGTTTCTATGCCTGTCAACTCTCAGTCAGATTGTTCCAAATTAAATAGCTTTCTGTCGGAAATTAGTCAGTGGTCCTCTTCAAACGGACTTAAGCTTAATCCGTCTAAATGTCAGGTAGCCAATTTCACTTTCAGACGTAAACGTGACCTACGACAACTAGCTAGCTCATATGGCCCCACTATCATTGACGGCACAGAGGTTGAAAATACATCTAATGTCAAGTACCTTGGGCTGAGTTTTTCCACCGATCTTTCTTGGTCCTCCCACATCTTGCTAGTTACTAGAAAGATATTTCGCTTAACGTTCTACATTAGGGAATTTAGGCAGTCTGGCATAAAGCAGTCTTTGCTTTCTCAGTTTGTCAATTCTTGTATTCTACCCATCCCCCTTTACTGCTCCCCATTAATTTAATCTTTTCTGGACTACTTAAGAAAGACTTTGCTTTGCTGAGAAGGGCACTAAAAGCCGTTAGTAGGGCAAGTGGGATATCGTTAAACCAACTGGTTAACACTATTGTGGATAGACATATAATGTCATGTAAGAAACTAGCGAGTACAATATTGTCGGACCCCAAGCATCCTCTCTGTACGCAGCTCTCTCCTTGCATTTCATCTGGTAGAACTAGAAGCAACTATAGGAGGCTATATGCTAGGACTACCAAATACAAAAACTCCACAATACCATATCTGGCACAGCTGTTATGTGATGAGAAATCCGTTAGGTATGACACGATCAACTTACTGCGGCATTCTAACAAAAAGTCCCACTAATTTTTGTTTTCGTTTCCTCGTTACTATTATACTGTTGTTCTTATCTTCTATTACACACCAATTTTATATTTCATATCCTGTGGCGCATTGTTTAAAATGTAAACGCAACGCTGTTTTCTTTTTCTTTATCTTTTTTGGGTGTTGCTTTTTGAATTTGAAATTTTTTGAGAGGATGACATACTATTTTATGCTGGGTCCTATCAGTGTGGTATTATCACATAGCAGTTGAGAGATGCAGTTTACGAAGATTCAATGACAATTAATGCGCAGCATTGCATTTTTCCCAGGGTATGATCTGTTTGTTTTTTTTCTCTAAATCTAGCTTTTTCCGGGCGGAATTTCACACCTACACCATATTTTATTCTTACTTACTCTCCTCTCCAGGAGAATCTTAGTCAAAGGTCCATATCTCTCTCTAGTGAATCTTGTCAAGCATTGCAGAACACGGAAGTCACTTCAAAAGTCTTTTGCCTTCACTACTCACTACATGGTCAAAAAAATCATGGTAAATTTTTCATCGTGTCATTTCAGTGAATACAAGAACAGAATTTGGGCACTACGGTAGATTATAGTATCATCATGTGAGTAAAGCAGCAAAGAATATAAGGCATTTACAGTTTTACCACATAGATATGGGACATCTGAATTAGGATGGTACATAGGCCTATAAACTTACTCAAGAACAAGCTCTCTAAGCTTAAGGACCCTGGTGACTCAGCTAGACAAAATAATGTAATCTACAAAATACCTTGCAATGACTGTCAGGTCAACCGCCAGTGTAGACTAGGGTCATTCGGCTTATCGAAGCATAGGAACGATTAACCTCACAAAGATGAATATTTCAGAGAACAAGTCAACAATGGCAATGCATATATCACAATGCAGTCATCACACAACAACAGGGTGGGACACAGTCATAGTTTTAAAGAATACTATAGGCAGGTGTATAAAGAGGTCGATTACTGAATCTTTGTTCCGTTCATCGAATCTACACGCAACACATGCACTAGGAATTGATGCAACATCAATACCAGATATTATGTAAAATATTACTATCAATACAATTAAATGATAAGAAATACTGGAATTATATAAAAGGAAGTTTGGTAGTTATACGACTGTCTTCTGATATGATGATTATGAGCAATAAGCGATGCTCAAAACGTTATCAGTGAGGAGAGGAGTGAGACAAGGCTGCCTACTATCACCAATGATTTTCCTGACTGCAGTAGATTGGGTAATGCGACAGACAACGGCGGGCAATGAGGAAACGGGCATAAAATGGACTCACACAAAAAACATGGACGATCTGCACTTCGCCAGTGACACATATATGTCTGATTTCCCACAAACTGGAAGATATGCAAGTGAAAAGTAACAAGTTGGCAGAAGAAGCATCAAAGATAGGACTTCAAGTGAACATAGATAAAACAGAGGTGATGAAGATTCCTAGCCAACATCAACAACAACAACAACAGACAACAATCAGCATAAGCGGGAAGAACCTGAAAGAAACAGCCTCCTTCACCTACCTGGTAAGCATCGTCTCAGCTACAGGCGGAACTGACGAGGATATCAAAGCCAGAATCGGAAAAGCGAGACAAGCTTTCATTACTCTCAAATCTGTGTGGAGGTCAACAGCACTCAGCATCAAAAATAAGATCCGGATTTTCAACTCCAATGTGAAATCAGTCAGTACTACTATACGGATCAGAGACTTGGCGAGTCATAAAGAGCATCTCTAACAAACTTCAGACCTTCATTAACAGCTGTCTTCGCTCAATACTCAAGATCAGATGGCCAGAAAAGATCAGTAACAGGGATCTCTGGAAATGAGCGAACCAATTCAGCAAGAACCGATTGTGAAACAAATAGGCAGGAAGAAGTGGAGATGGATTGGCCATACTCTGAGGAAACCATCAAGTGACATCACTAGACAAGCCATTGCTCGAGTGGAACCAGAAAGGGAGGCGGTGAGTTGGTCGTCAGTGCAAGGGTGACTTAGAAGAGGTCATGTGAGGAGGAGATGAAAGCATGTGGGCAAACTTGGAGCGGGGTGAAAAAGTTGGCAGAAAACAGAAGGCAATGGAGGTGCGCAGCTGAAGCCCTATGTTCCTCTAGGAATTAAAGCATACAATAATAATAATAATTTATCACATAAATTTACTCTATGATGGTATTATTTCAATAAGATTATGCATTACCTGAACTCGTTCAATTAGATCTGTCAGTGAATAGCCTAAACGCATTAATTTTGGTACCATGAATGTATACACTATTGGACTGTTAGTTCTGTTCAGGTCCTTTAACATATCAATAGCAGCTATTGAAAAAAAAGACAAAAAACAATGGTGGCATTAAATGTAGGAAAGAGAATACTATTCTTTTAAATAAGCAGTTTACAAAAATATTGAGGAGTTACAATGTTCATTGTTATTGTTTGATTTCTAGGTATTACTACTATTATTGTTTCTTTGGGTTCCGAATAGAACATAGGGCTTATAAACAACACATCACCACCTTCTTCTATTTTCTGCTATCCACTTCATCTGGGCCCACGACTGCCCATAAAATCTCTAATCTCCTCCTCCAACTCACACGATCTCCCCCAAGGTTATCCTCACACTGACGACCTACTCGTCGTTTTTACATTCCGGTTCCAATCAAGTGATAGCCTGTATTGCGCAGCACAATGTCATTCGACAGTCTCCTCAACGTATGCTTGATCCATTTCCATTTTCTTCTTCATATTTGTTGAACAATTGGTTCTTGGTTAGTTTTTTTCCCATAGTTTCGTGTTGCTAATTATTTCTTGCCGTTCAGTCGACAGGCCATTTGATCTTCAATATAGAGCCAGTGAAGGCAGTTGTTGATTAAAAGTCTGTGGCGGTCTGTTGGAAATACTTTTCGTGACGTGAGTGCAAAGTTTCTCACCCTCATAGAAGAACTGACTGGCTTCACACTGGTGTTGAAAATTCGAATCTTGTTGTTTATGCTGAGGTGGAGCGCAGAAGATTTGCAAATTGATTTTGAATGATGAAGGCCTGGCTTATATTTCCGGCTACGGTTCTTACATCGTCATCGGTTCCGCCAGCAGCTGAAATGATTGTGCCTAGATAAGTGAAGGGAGTAACCTTTTTTTCAAACTTATACCATTTGATAGTGATTGCTGATGGTTGGTGTTATTTTTGGTAGTTTATTTTCACCCCCGTTTTCTCTATAGTCCACCTGAAGTCTTGGCTTCACTGTCTGCCTGTTCTGCCAGATAGTTGGTTTTCGCATGCAATTCTTTGAGTTTGTTTGGCAGTCAACAAAAATCGTTTGTGAAATTCAGATCTTCTAGAACCTTCTTGTTGGTCCAACGTATTCCTGCATTTTTCAAGCTCTGTACACAGTATGACGCATAATTCAGTCCACACCACAATCAAGAATATCATCGGTGATAACAGGCAGCCTTGTCTTACTGCTGTATTCACTTCAAACGCTTCGTTGAGTTTTCTGTTGTGGATGACTTGACATGTGCTATTGTCATACAGCCGCTGAATGAAATTGATAAATCCTTCGAGAACTTCACAGTGTTGAAGGAGATTCGAAATTAGTTAGTAATCAACGCTGTCGAAGGCCTTTTCAAGGTCGATAAAGTTGAGGTAGAGATTCGACTGTCATTCTATGCTCTGTTTGATGCTTATGCATAAGGTTGCGATTTGATCAGCATAGGATGTCTTTCCTGAATCCAGCTTGTTTCGGTGGGCGGAGTTCTGCATCTAGCGCATCTTTAATTCCCCCCTGCATGAAGCAACTCGGTATTTTACCGCGGAGGGAAAAAAGAATGGTTCCGCTCGAGTTCTTCTAGTGGCTCAAATCGCGTTTCTCTGGTAGTTTAACAATAAAGTCTTCTTCTGATCAACGGGTAGATACTTTTCCTTCCTACTAAACCTTTTGCAACAGTGGAGTGAGTATATTCGTTGCAGTCTCTGAGTTCATTTCGAATGCTTCAGGGGTGAATTCCGTCCTGTCCAGATACTTTTCCAGCTTGACTGTATTCAAGGTTTCTGTTTTCGCCAGAGGATTGCTATCCATCGGCAGGCACTTCTGTGAGTGCTGTTGATGGTATTTCTGGACACGTTGTAGGTGATGGTCGATTCAAGAGTCCTTTGAAGCGAACAGCCCATTGTTTTATTTGTTTCTCCTCTCTGGTAGTTAGGTCCTCTTGACCCCTTGGTTTTATCGGTGTTGATCTCTTCCGCAATAAAGACCTAGTTATCCAGTATAATATTCTGAAGTCTCTTTCACCTTCGATCTGTTAAGCTTCACTTGTCAGCGTGTCATAGAACTGCACTCAGTGACGTAATATTAACGACTATCTTCGAGCTGAATAATTAAAATATGCGAATACTTTTCAGTTCTGCATTCCACACAGTTGATAAAAAGTCGACTAAGCAATGAAGACTCATTATGCTGCATAATTTGTTATTCGTACTTTGTTCGAGTCAAAGAGAAACCAATCGATCAGGTGGTGAGAATCACCTAAGATATAGGCTACTCTCATGTTACGATATCACATTCTTCATGTATTGGCGCTTGAAGTACGATTAGGTTGGAAAGAGATCAAGCGATGATCAAACTAAAAATCTTGAATATGGGAAAAATCAGTGACTTACACCAACCCGACGGGACTTCCTCTGATTCCCAGACGCTGCTTAGAGCCTCAGTTAATGCAGATAGTAAACTGTCTCCACCGTACTTAAATACCTCTGGAGTCATTCCATCAGGTCCCGCTGCTTTGCCTAGTTTCAGATTGACGATAGCTTTAGTAACCTCAGTTAGGGATGGAGGACCTGTGTCTATATCCCATTCAGGGAGGTGTTGGATGCTCGGAAGGTTGAGCGTGGCTGTGGGCCAATTAAACTGCTCCTCATAATGCTCTTTCCAACGATCCAGTCGTCTATCCTGGGAGCTAATTATAGTGCCATTTTTTTCCGAGATTGTTTCACTAATGATTTGTCTTCTCCCACCCGTTTCCCTGATGAGTCTAGAGAGTTGCCTATCCTCGAAGCTTTCTCCATCTCTTTGGCTTTTGTCGCCCACCACTGTTCACGGTCCTTGCGGAGACTTTTCGTAAGTTTCCTTTTGTGCAGCTTTCGCTCCTCATTGAATTCGGAGCTCGCCGGAATAAGTCTTCTAGCATCTATCAGTTCGGATGAGGCGGTGGAGATCCAGTGGTTTTTACTCACCTTTGGGTTTACCTTATTCACAGCTTTTACAGCTGTATCTATGGCTGCCTGGATATTTTTCCAAGCTTCTTCAGGGTGAGCACAGCTGTCGAACACAGATATGTGTTTAGCTAGTTCTTCCTCAAATACGGATTTAGTTTCCTGATCGAGCTGGGGACGTGATGGTTTTACCGCCAGCTGTTTCCTACGTCCGTTCAGTCGTAAGCACACACGAGCGCGGACCAGTGCATGGTCGGTATCTACACACGTGTTCCAGAAGGAGCGACAATCTCCTACCGACCCACGCCAACGATAGCTTATTGCTATGTGGTCTATTTGTGTCCAGCGTTGGTTTGATGAAGGGGGTCTCCAAGTCAAACAGTGTCTCTCCTTGTGTTTGAAGTTAGTGCTTACAAGAAACAAATGATTATCAGAACAGAACTGTAGGAGACGGTCACCGTTGTCGGTTCGCTGGCACGGGACTCCATAGGTGCCACCGACATCCTTCTCAGATTGACACAATTTCCCTACTTGAGCGTTAAAGTCACCAGCTAGAACGACTATGTCTGAGCGTTTAGCCTTTCTCACCAAACTAGACAGCTTTTGGTAGAACTCATCCTTCGTTTCATCTGAACTGCAGTCAGTGGGGGCGTAGGCGGAGATTACGAAAAGGCATCGGCGAGTAGTGCAGTCCTTTCTCCTTCTTACTGATCCGTTCAGACGGACAGCACACATTCGGCTATCTACCGGGATCCAGTCAAGCAATGTCTTTTCTGCCCTAGTACTCAAAGCTATCCCTACGCCAGCTAATCCTCGTGAACTAGCTGTGGCATCTCCTGACACCCTCAAGGTGAATTTTGCAGATTCAACCTGTTGGCCAGGTGGGGTTAGGTGAATAACCACACTTGGGTCTTGTATGCGTGTTTCTGAAACACAACATACATCAATGGCTCGTGATGCCAGGGTCTTGGCTAGTGATGCTTGTTGTCCTATTTGGCAAAGTGTCCTAACATTAAATGCTCCTATATGAAATTGGTGGCGCGGCTTTAAGAGGCCTACCGGTGGTTTTTTGGCTTCCATCGTTTTTAGTGGACGCAGAGTGGAGAGGAAGTGGAGAGCTATCAAGTCGAGGAGTTGCATCAGTGGAAGGAAGGCAAGATGATAGAGATGAAGATGAAGACAAAGATGAGTGAGTAATAGAGAGGTTTCGTGTGCATTTCGGATTGTGAGGGCGATTGTTACTTCCCGGCTGCCCACACCGTGGAAGTTGGTTGCGTGACCGCAGAGCCCAGGGGACAACTGCTTGAGGCCGGTCACACGCGGCCTGCTTTTTTTGTTCGTATTGTTTTGTGTGTCTCAGTAGCAGATTTATCACTCCTGCCCTGTGACACGGCAGCAGGAAGCGCGGTCGTTGTTAATCCGGGCCACGGCCGATCCGGCATGAAATTTTGTGGTTTTGTATTTATCATGATGTTGGATTGGGTAGCTGCTTTTTGTTTAACCGCTATCCAAACAACCTGCCTGGCATGGTAGTACCTCAAGAGACATAAGTCTCAGCCAGTATAGCTTGATTAGGTCATTTCGGTGTTCAAGCCCGACCACCACGTCAAAGTAGCAGCTTTCGGTCGGTGCCTGCTTTCTATCTCCCGTGTGAAGTGGCATAATAAGGTGAGCAACATTGAGGTTAGGCGTAGAGTTCTAGGTAAACAGGGGAAATCAATCGACGAAGTTGTGAAGTTACAAAGACTGAGATGGTTAGGACATGTGTTACGCATCAATGCCTAGTCATCGCCTTCCTCGACGAGCAATGTTAGCGGATATAGGGTCAGGCTGGAAAAAAGCTAGCGGCGGTCAAACAAAAACATGGCTTTACCAGTCAATGAAATCCACAACAGTTGGTCTAAGCCACGTAGGAAGGTGTAGACTTCCTTACTGGTTGGAGTCCTCGAGACGGTAAAAATCTATGGTTGGAAACAATTGGTGACATGGCTCAAAACCGTTCTCAATGACGGCGCAGATGCATCCACTCCTTGTGACTTATGATTTCCAATGAAACTGTTTGTTCTTCGTTATTACTCCTCCTTTGTCTCACACCTCTGCATACTGTCTCTATTATGCTTTTCTTGTACTTTCTTCTCTTGCTTCGCGTGCTACACGGAGTGTGGCGACTTGAACTGGCGCACATTTGTGCAAAGTTCTATGTCGAAAACAGACAGACAAACTAAAAATCTAGATACTGCATGACTAATAGTCTATCCATACAATAAAGTTTAGATTGTCTAATCAGTGGCTACAAAACGCTGAAAACTAATCACAACATTTTCTAGCTATACCTAGCTTTATGCTATCTACAACGGCAGATATATAATACATGTATACACACCTGCTTCCCAATATCACAATATTTTTTGGACTGTGGCTTAATTCCACACCGTAATTTTGGTACAAGTATGGAATTTTCAACATGCGATATCGGTAGCTTAAATTCGCAAGCCAACCATTGATATCAGGTGTGCATCGGCAGGGGATCGAACCCCAGATCGTGTGCGTGGCCGACGAGAGTCCTAACCTCTCTGCCACTGACGTACAATGCTTTGCAGCTAGGAATGTATCATAAATTCACCACTTGAGAGCAGAAAGTTCGACAGGGAATAAAAAAACAACAGTGAACTAACCTTCGACATTCTTTTCTTCTATGTAGTTCGAAAACTGATTGGCCAATGTGCTAGGCGGTCTATTACTTCGGTTGAAATCTTGAAAAAGGAAACAGAATTTACCACTATATGAGTAAATTTACACTATCAGTGGAATCTTAGGCAACAAACCACATTCAAGGTGCACACTATTTTACAGACCACACATTCCTCATTCTACTCTGGATTCATGATTTTACCAAGTCCATAAAAGGCAGGAGTTAGGCGTCACTTAACACCACACTTTCGACTATTGTGTCCCCGCTGTCAACGTCATCCCACCACCTGCTTTGACTTATACAAACTAGAGGTCTTCATAAATGTCCAAGTCTTACATGTGGCTCTAGTATTTTGAAGTATCTATACCGAGTAACCCAGCTGCTCAGCCATACTTCCACAGAAATCATTGCAATACAACAGGTATATGGCTAGAACTCGGTTACACAGTGCCGAGATAGAGGCCACACTCATACTGTGAAGGTTGATAACACTACCCAGCTTTCCCAGATTGACGTAGGCGGAATGAGGTTCAAGCCCTGAACGCATTGGCTAAAGTCGAGTGTACAGGCTGATGAGCCACACCCTCACAATTGGCATATATTAGGAAAGGCACTTTGCACTACAGTTACGCCGATAACTACTTCAAAAAGTCCTCTACAACATAAAATGAGCAGAGAGGTGTTACTTTATCCAGGCTGGAAGGAAGATGCCACGGATAGTCATAAATTTAAGTGGACGAACTGCAGGGAGTATTGGCATTCCAGTAAGTCGATATGTAAATCATTACAACTTACACAATTTACATTTATTCTTCAGCACCATCAATTGTTTACTGTCTAAACGGGCTGCCTCCCAAAATGGTTCCAAGGCTTCTGAATTCTGTAATAAGGAAAAAAAGCAAAGTAACAAGTCATTTGATGAGGCAAAATGAGCAGAGTCCAACTGGTTACAGATTTGATCACGAGCTATCATCGGTTAGAGAAACAGTGGGAGACCAGTAATAGAGTGCTAGAAAGCCGTTTCGTCTTGGTTTGAAACTTTTCATCAGCACGCATCCACTGGAGTTCGAACTCTATGTCTTCCGGTTACAAGACGAGCTCTTAGACCATTAAGCGGGCACTGGGGCCCAATCAAATGTCGCATGAATTCCGACCTCTGCCAATTCGTGATATTTCAACACTTAGCCTCAAAAAAGGTGATCGAATGACTTTTATGGAAGCATTATGTAAAGAAAAAAAGTTACTAACCAAACCACCAGTAGCGGCATATAATGGAAGTGAGTGTAGATAACCTTCGGTTGCATTTTCTGGGCGCATAATTTTAAAAACTTCCAAAGCAGCAGCTGGACGTCCTTTGGCTAAGAGAACTTTCACAGTATCTTGGGCAAAATCATACGGGAAAAAGTCATCCGTTGACGGCAATTTTTCAAGTATCTATAAATTCACACATTAATGAAAAGAATAATAAAGTAGAATAATGTTACTAAGGTGCATATAGCAACGGGAACTTCAACTTAAAAATAAGTTTCCTTACATTATGTATCAAATTTTAGCTCAAAATGCTTTTCATAGGAATTATGTACCGGGTCAGTGTGTGACTGTATAAAATAAAACTGTTATTTGGTTCAGTGACTATATTATGACTGACTGAAAGTTTCGACACAGAACTTAATAGAGAAGTGCAGCAGTTCAAGCGACCATATTTCATGTTGTACACAAAGGTAGACAAAAGAGAAAAAATCAGAAGTAATATAATACGCAGAAATGGTAGAGAGAGAGAGAGAGAGAGAGAGAGAGAAAGAACATTAACGTGAACACCGAAGATTACAGTGAAAGTGTCTGCGCCATCAGTGATAACGATTTTGAGATACATTTCCAATAATCTTCAGTCATGGGTTCTTAGCATTCTCAGGACCCCTACCAGACAGTCCACGTCTCTTTACATGGACCAAAAACTTCAAGTTATGGGGTGACCACCGTAACTCTCAACCTAATCGTATGCCAGCTAATTTTGCTCTCCGGGGGAGGCAGCGTTTGGGCGCCCTCAACACGTGTCCCAGCCATTTCAATAGATATATTCTCATAACCACATAGAATGACTTCCATTCCTTATCTAGCACTCTAACCTAACCTAAATGTTGCTCACTATATTGTACCAATTAACACGGAAGATAAAACGTAAATGTGAAGTCACAGACTGTCTGTCTGTCTGTTTTCGACATAGAACTTTGCACAAATGTGCGCCAGTTCAAGTCGCCACACTCCGTGTAGCACGCGAAGCAAGAGAAGAAAGTACAAGAAAAGCATAATAGAAACAGTGAGCAGAGGTGTGAGACAAAGGAGTAATAAATAAATACAAAACAGTTTCATTGAAGATCATAAGTCACAGGGAGTGGATGCATCTGCGCCACTGAGAACGATTTTGAGCCATGTCACCAATTGTTTCCAACCATAGATTTTTGCCGTCCCGAGGACCCCAGCCTGGAAGTCTACACCTTCCTACGTGGCTTAGACCAACTGTTGTGGATTTCATTGACTGGTGCCAAGTTTTTGTTTGACCGCCGCTAGCTTTTTTCCAGCCTGACCCTATATCCGCTAACATAGCTCGTCGAGGGAGGCGATGACTTGGCATACGTAACACATGTCCTAACCATCTCAGTCGATGTAGCTTCACGACTTCGTCGATTGATTTCCCCTCCTTACCTAGAACTCTACGCCTAACCTCCATGTTGCTCACCTTATTATGCCACTTTACACGGGAAATAGAACGCAGGCACCTATGATCAAAGGTAGCTAGTCTTTTCATGTCTTCCACTCTCAGTGGCCAGGTCTCACAACCATAAAGGAGGACGGAGCGGACTGATGAGCAGTACACCCGCCCTTTGGTCGATAGTCGAACATCTCGTCTACGCCAGAGTCGGCGTAAACTAACAAATGCGAAACGAGCCCCTTGTATTCGTGCTGAGATTTCGTCAGAGATCAGCCCGTTGGGGCTGATGGTACTTCCCAAATAAGTGAAGCGGTCAACGTGCTCTACCACTTCACTTCCTATTTTTAAACTAGGCGTCGATGTAGTCCAGTCCTGTAACATCATCTTGCATTTGGCGGGAGCGAATCGCATGCCAAACATTCGTAGATTGCTGTTCAAGGTGTTTAGAAGACTCTGCATTTTGTCAGTGTCTTCGCCTAGAAGGACTATATCGTCTGCATATTCCAAGTCAACGAGATTATTCCCAGGTAGCAAGTCAATCCCTGAATCGCTGAAGTCACCTAGGGTTAAGTCCATTAACACATCTATGATGAAGTTGAATAGAAAAGGAGATAATGGGCATCCTTGACAGCCAGCCTTTTCATATATTCCACTTTCAACGACCACATCTCACAGTCATAAAGGTTAAAGTGAACTGCTGCACAGTGCACACATCCTTTGATCTATAACCGCATACCACGTCTGTGCCAGAGGAATCATAGATTCACAAGTGCGACACGAGCTTTTTGCATCCATGCTGAGATTTTGTCAGCAATAATCAGACTATAGTAGCTGATGGAACTTCCCATATAAGTGAAGGGGTCAGCACGTTTTACTCCCTATCTTTAACCCATATTGTGCACTCAGTAATCGATTTTGATGACAAAGCTTAAGTATAAACAATTTACATATGTAAAAAAAACATTTTACGATACCTCAATACATGTTGCATTTGAATCTGATTGTGAACAATTTATTCTTGTATAAAGATCCATGAGAAAAGTAGGTGAAATTTCTCTTCCAAAATGATTTTCGTCTGAATTCACAAGTGAAGGAAGTACAGTGTAAGCTTCATCTAGAATTCGTAGTAAACTTTGTTTATCTCCAAGATCAGCATAAGCAGATAGAAGACCTTCATATGCATATCTGGATGGCCATAAACCTATTTCGGATAATAATTCTTGTGTTGAAGAAACTTCTTCAGGCAGTCTGGAAAGTTAATGAAAAAATCAAAGTCAGTTCAAACGCTGATTTAAGATTATTCCAAAAATATAATTCACATTGTAACCAAAAAATTAACATTATCAAGCAAGAAAATGATCGATGAATGCACATGGGAAATTGTAGAGGTTCATCAGTTCAATTTTATATAAGATAATTTGATAAGACAGAGTGATAAAGTATGAATCACTGGTCCCGTAAAGCACCACTAGAAATGCATATACTGGTAAAATAGAATGGTAATCACTACAAAGCAGACATGTATCATATCATCGTAGGAGTATTGATTACAAAATCGAATTATGTGGATGAATCCATGCAAATCTTACATTATCTCGTTTGGAAGATCATTTATTACCCACATCTGGATTCCAGAGGGTTTGAACAATCAGAAAGAAACCACAAGCCTACCGATGGTTGTATTCAACTACTACAAACATCACAGAAACATAACTTATCTAGAATACAAGTACAGTTAGGGAATAGTGGACCAAGGGGAACAGATGCATCAATTGCATTCAAGCAACCAACAGCATCCACCAGAACAATTTGGGTGAAACAAGAGAAACAGAGACAATGTCGACCTTCTGTGCATTTCTCTGCGAATGTTGTTTCCACTAAGTTCCAGTACCTTGATTTGATTATGGATTAGGTTATTGGAGCCTTCCTTCACTTGGGTCGCTATACCTTAACTTCACTGCAAACGAAACAGCTCAAAATACGTGATCCTGTTTGCCAATATAATGCGAATTCTGAGTGGCTAATCGTATTTGTATTCAGATTTTGTATCTCTGACTAGACACAGAATAACACATTGGCCAAATACTCTTAGGATATTTGACGTACGCAGCTTACCCAGATGGAAGCCACGAAAACAAAATTACTTCGCCTTACATAGAAACCTCTCTAAACCTAACATAAGTCTGTTTTTTGCAACAAAGACTTAATTTCAAAGTTTAAAAACGATAATCACTACACCTTTCACAATTTATGCTGATAAGAAACCTTTAAAATGCGATCAGTTTGCTTACCCTGCTTTAACGTAACCATGTAGAATTTGAGAGAATATATATGAATTCGGCCTCAGACCAGCATCACGAAGTAGTCGCAAGTATGAGCTAAAATTTATGGTTATATTTAAGTAGTCATACTTTGTCTGATTCATGTCACCGACAGCACAACTTTGATGTATGAAGACGCCGTAGATTCGCTGGAAAGTCAAGAAATTTTAAAAAGTGGACATACTGCAGTAGGAAGCATACTAGCCTCGCGCATATCTTTTAAAACTTTTTCTGCATCTATGTGTAGTCCTAACCTGACTCTCATGTTCAAGTATCTCTCAGCTAAAAGCACATCACCAGCTGAACGCAAAATTACGTAATTGCGACAGGATTGAGGTTACCTTCTATAATATCTTCCCAAAATTTGTCAGCAAACTTTGCATTCTCCTTAGAACTATACAAAGCGCCTTTAAGCCTTTGTTTTCGCAAAAAGTGCTCTAGCCTAGTAATATCATCGGTCTTATCAAGTCCCCTGGATGACTGTTCCACATTGTGTGGTTGGTAACGTGTTTTCTGGACGGTGGATAAACATATAACGCCTTGGGGCGAATTGAAAGATCTCGGAATCAGGTGCTTCGAAATAGCCCTGTTAGAAAACACCAACCGAGCACCAAATCTGGACAACAGACCCGACATGACGAAGTAACGCTGCTTAACTGGTAAAGCGCCGTAGGTATACGATATTAAATGTCCAATTCAGATTTCAGATTTATTGGTTGAGGAAAGAAGGCTCGGAGTCTATGTTAATCCTTTTCTAGTAAATTCCTGTGGTTGTCCAAACCCTTCTTGAACAAATCAGTTGAGGTTACAGACACCACTTCTTCTGGGAGTCGGTTCCAGGAGTTTATGACTCGATGTGAGAACCAGTACTCAACAGCAATATGATTTCTCTCGGCTTTTGATCTCCCCTGCTATATCCTCTAAGGTGTTACGACTACCTGGTGGGAAGGAAAAGAGAGAATAGGTCAGGTCCGTAGTGATTATTTAAAATTTTAAACATTGTGATTAAATCTCCTCTCTGCCTACGGTATGACAGTGAAAAGAGATTTAAACTGTTTAGTCTCTCCTCGTATGATAAGTTAGCTATGCCATGAACCATACGTGTTGCCTTCCTTTGAACACTTTCTAGAATGTGAGTTCCCTTTTAGACAAGGACTGGCGGCCTGGATGCAGTTTTCCAGTCTTGACCTCACCAGAGATGTATATAAGGAGGTGAACATATCTCTGGTGATTTTAGTAAAAACACAGTTTTTGTTCAGCGAAGAAATTTCTTTTCAACGACTTCATTTTCAAGCTGTACAGTCGTATTTATATTATATTATTTCCTGCAGCTGACCTGCAACTAGTTTTTACCAGCCGAAATATGATCAGACAATGAGTCAAGGATAGATTACCGCTTTTGTCCACATCTATGTGTATTTACTCTTTTACCTGCTCTTGTGGAGCTGTTTATATTGGACGTTGTAAGCGTAATCTTCGAGAACGTGTAGCTGAACACTATCCGGTTTGGTTAATGAAAGGCGAACGTAGAACTTCAAAGTCGTCTCTTTGTGATCATTTGTTAGAATCTGGTCATTTAGCCCCACGTGATTCATCTTTCAAAGTTATCTACATGGCAAAATCAAACCGTTCCAAAAGTTTACGTTTTCTTCACTTATGCATAGCCGAAGCTTTAGCTATACATGAACAGAAACCTAAATTATGTGTTCAAAAGCGTTTTGTCAAACCCCTTTCTTTACCTTGGTCATAATAATGTTCTTTCTAGTTTTTATTTTATTTTTTTTTACCACTTGAATTCTTTCCACTTCACTTCACATATTCATTCTTATCGTAATCGTACTCCTAATTTTCAAAATTTTTAGACAACACTTGACATTTTTGTTATAAAAGAATCTTTAACATTTTTGTAATTTATCCACATCAACTTTACCCCTTATAACTTTTATCACATATATCCGTACATTGACTGAGCAATTATCTAGTGCCACTTAATAACCTTTTTCTGTAATATAAATACGACTGTACAGCTTGAAAATGAAGTCGTTGAAAAGAAATTTCTTCGCTGAACAAAAACTGTGTTTTTACTTATGAATAAATGGGTATTTTTCGAGATTCCAGTAAAAGCTCTGCGAATTGCCCATAAGGACCTGAAACTACGTGCAGCCACCGCGCGACAGTGTGCTTCAGTTTTTAAGTTGTGGCTAACTATGACACCTAAGTCCAAGTGAGTCTGAACTGATGGAAGTGTTATTCCCTCTAATTCGTAGTAGCTTGTGCTTGCCTGTCCAATGCGCATGGTTGCACATTTTGCCACATTGATCGGGAGCATCCATTCTATGGACCATTCTGACAATTTGTTGAGGTCCTCTTGAAACGTGAACGTATCACTGTCGCCCTTCAGCTCTCTCCAAATTTTTAAGTCATCTGCGTATAGGACCATAGGACCAATGCTTTGGCAGCTAGCTGATATAAACCTACTAATTTTTCGTATCTAGTTTACGACTTTCATTGTATGACTGTACATATATGGCAGATTGCGGCGCATAAAATATGGCCTTTCTCAGATTTCAGTTATTTTGAAGACTACAGAGAACAGTAGTGGTCATCGGGTATTATGTGTTCACTTGAAGGGTATCGCGTTGTTCACTGTTTTATAAGTCATTATCAGATCATCCTTCTTCCGTTTATAAAGTTCCAGACTTCAGTGATGGTTTAATACTTATTGACATTTAGTATGACTTCATTTTGTGCGTAGGTAGCGCAGTCGTTAGGACTCTCGCTGACCATGCACATAGTCCGGGGTTCGATCCCCTGTCGACGCACACCTGATATCTATAGTTGGCCTGCAAAATTTGGGCTATTGATATAACAAAAAATACCGTGTCGGATTAAGCTGTAATAAAAAATAAAAAATTTAAGACTTCCCAGTTCAAAAGAGAGACTGTCACCTTATCATCTAAAGCAATCCTTCTTTCTTCTATAAGCCGACGATAATGGCACATAGCCACCTGACAGAGTTTCTGCGCAGCCTGAATATTCGTCAAGTCATTAATGCTAATGGGAAACAATCATAAAAAATGAAATAAGTTAGTGACATGTGAAACTGCAGGTGACTACATGTAGATTGAGCACGATTCACTTCCTAAAGTAATTCCCTCATTTATAGTCCAACACAGAGCAGCAATGAGCTCATGACGCCCATTTTACAGATCGCTTTGCGGCAAATTACATGTAACGCATAATCGAATGCTCTGATCAAGTCCATAAACGCTCCAATATTCTGGTCTCAATATTCCATTCCTTTTTTCTGAGCTACTCAATGTTTGAAGCTACTATAGGCACGTTCTATTTCCTATGTTTACGGAGTGGTGAGTTGACGTGGCCGACAATAATGCTGTACTATAACCCAGAGATCGAATCCATGTTGACTGCTTCAAGTAAGTGGAGATCTTGCTCTAGCGTTCTCAGGACCCACAAACCAAAACCTCATAGGACCTGAAGTTGCGTACCACACCACCGACTGAAAGCTTGGTTATTGTCATGTTAGCTTATAATTCCGAATGGATGTAGAGCCCAACGTACAAGGTTACCTCATACGCTTCATGTTCAATAGTATGTCATACCATGAACAGTCGCATTTTGCCATGATCTACGAATCATTTCATATTAGTTTGTTTATTAAACATATCACACAGTGAAACAGTATTATTTATATCCAGCAAATAATACTGCTTCGTTGTGTGATATATCTAATAAACAAACCAATATGAAATCACTTACCACCACAGTGCCAAATATATACACATATATTAATACGAATCACTTAATAGCAAAATACTAAAGTTGGCTCACAAATGTCCTACGTCTGAAGGCCATCCATCCCCACATTCACTGCCACAGATATATATCATACACGTGCTGTCGATAAAAACAGTATAGATATGATAGAGAAGATTTGTAGCTCAGGTGGATGATTTTGATGTGATTTTTTGTTGAGCAAACTAACCATCCAGCTCAGAGAACAAAACCACATCAAAATAAAAACAGTATATTTACACATAAACTGGTAGATTTACATGAAATGCATGGCATTTTTTACAGACACTATCAAACACAGTATAAACCACGATTAAAAATGCCTACAGCTTTGCACTGTTTCGATTATCTGCGTAGTTGAACTATAACGCGAGGTATCAGAACAGGTCCATATTAGTGTTAAGCCATGAAGCTCTCACCAAGGTCCAGTGGCAATCCAAGTTCTATTCCATTTTTCACACATGATTGTACCCAATCAACAACTTGTGGGGGAACAGAGAAGTTCGTCAAATCAACTGAACCCCAGCTCTTTCATCTCCATCAGTCAATTTGTTTATCTTTGTGGACTGAAACACAGTGGTCAGTTGGGTTCCCAAGGAACAAGAGCATGGATGTGCGTAGTAGTGTAACTGAATATCTCCGTGCTGTCTCTCATACCGCTGTTAATGAGTGAATCCTCAAACGACCATAAGTTTCATATTCTTCTTCCCTAAGTAAGGCGGTGTTACGAACAGCCTGGCCACAAGGTTCGGTAGGTCAGGCTGAGTCGGAAAGTAGTGTGGCCAAAGCTCAGATATAGTAGGACACAACCACACAATAATCGTGAGCTTCGTTTCTAGTTGAGGTCGGTAGAAGGCGTTCAAGCAGAGTCACTAACCAGCTAGTATTTATGTAGGTACTGGATCCTTTTGAAATGGATCTCCAGCTGCCAAGACCTCGACACTCCATTTGAAAATACTTCAAAATGAAACAAACTTTAGTCCACCATCCTTGTGATTCAAATGCCATATAATACGGCCGCCGAATAAACGGAGCTTCTGACTTTTCTAAGTACCAATTCATTACTGTCACGAACATATATGTCACACCGTGCTGCACTCCCTCAGAACCGTCCACGTTTCCCGACGAATTCATTGTTTTCTCCGCCGCCTCATTGGTAATTTACTGTTCATAGTGACGGGTGATTCTAATTGTTGTGACACAGTTTTCTTACAACGCTAGGTCGTGAAAACGTTGTTAACTTTTTCACCCAACCGGATAATTCGTTTGATCTTGTACTTATAAATGACTCCGGGATCCGCAAAGCTAGGAAAAGAGATCCACTGTTGAATTCTGATCATTTGTATCCATGGGTTCTACACAAAATTTATGACAAGTTACACAAGAAAGTATTCTCGTACCTGTCCGAGAAGATTGCAGCCAATGCTTTCTTTCCCACAAATATCCGTTTGCCTTTATGTTAAATACTACCTTCATCTGATTCGTCCGTTGAATGTTGTTTGCCGATTGGTAGTTATTGCTGCAGAAAGCTTAACTTTGCCAAGATTGCATACATATGCATACGTTACCCCAAGGATAATGTTCAAAATCTTAGGAGCACCTTCGAAGACACAAGTTAGGACTTATTTATTGATAACTGTCAGCCACGTCTCGTAAACCGTTAATGCCCAGCTCTTGCTACGCTCGGGCCCACGCTGTCGCTTGAAGTTTCTCAGAAACGCTTAGTAATAACGGACGAAAAAACCAAAACACCAATTGTTGACTCGAGGATTCTTCATTGTTACACCAACATATATATCAAGTATGACTAAGGTCTGTGAACAAATATTACAATAATAAATCACAATATTACTTCTG